TGGAATCCACCCAGAAAGCAGTCGAGGAAAGGGTTTCTCAGATCAAAAATCTTATCCAGGTTCTTTTTATTTCATTAACCAAGTGACCTCTTTGACAGGAACATCTATAGTCACCATATTCGATGCTCATGTTCTTCATTTGATCTTTATGTGTAATTCAGAACACCGAGGAGAATTTTCAGAGGAAGATCCTCAATGAAAGAGTAGCCAGATTATCTGGTGGAATTGCAATAATCCAGGTGACTTTGTGAAGCACTGATACCAAAAAACAATCTGATCATGTTGAACTAACTTCCAAAGGCCTTAGGTAGGTGCACAGACACAAGTTGAGTTGAAGGATAAACAGCTAAAGGTTGAAGATGCCCTGAATGCAACTAAGGTAACTCCAGTCAAAACATGCGATTCCCGTGGTTGAGAAATTGTCAGTCCAAGAAACCTGATCTCTCAGAATTTAGTCAGCAATTGAAGAAGGGATTGTAGTTGGTGGTGGTTGCGCCCTCTTGCGACTGGCGACAAAAGTGGACAGAATCAAAGACACCCTTGACAACACAGAACAGAAGGTACACTTGATTCAAGTCCATGGACGTGGAACATCACAATCGAGCTATCAGCATTTCTAAACATCCCAGAAGATGTGATATTTTTCTTGCAACATTCATTATAAGCAGATTGGAGCTGAAATATTCAAGAAAGCATTGAGCTACCCCATAAGACTTATTGCCAAAAACGCAGGCACAAATGGCAACATCGTCATAGAAAAGGTATTTCATAATGTCAGCTCTCTAGAACCAGTCCTAACTTCCAATAAACTAAATTTTGAAATCTGCAGGTCTTATCGAACAAAAACCCCATGTACGGTTACAATGCTGCAAAGAATCAATATGAAGATCTGATGTTGGCTGGTATAATCGATCCAACCAAGGTAAAACCACATGATTTAATGTATTGAGCTCTCTTTGATATTTGTTTCTGCATCTCATTGTCTGGGAACTGAAACACAGGTTGTGAGATGTTGCTTGGAACACGCTGCATCAGTGGCTCAAACCTTTCTGACATCGGATTGCGTTATAGTTGAGATCAAAGAAATCAAACCAAGACCAATCATTAATCCACCATTGCCTACATCTTCTCCAGCTACCTCCTCCATGTTCCCTGACAGAAAATTGCCAAGCTTTCCTCAAATTATGCCAAGAACTCGAAGCCACTTTCCACGGAAGTAGGAACCAGTCGTAGAAAACTGTCTTACTTTAGAAAATAGTACTACATAACATGAGAAGTCACATATAATGTTATCTCCAAACATTACTTAAAGTGTAATATATATCGGTGTATGTATGTATACACGAGGTCGAGGGTCTCTGAAATTGCGCTAAATGTCATAAGCTCTGGTCATCTCATAAACGTGTCAATGCGAGGCTTAACTTCTTCTTCGAATCATTTGTTTGAATTATCCCCAAAACACTAAATCTTACCGTAGCTAAAGAAGAGATCGAAGAATAAAGACGACAAAAGCTAAGATGGTGCTGATGATGCTAATGGATCTGATCGTCGCCGGAATCTCTCTGATGGTCGGATTAGGGTTCTTCGCTCTCATCGCTTCCATCCTCTGTTCCGTTGCCTTCTTCCACCATGCCAAAGCCGCTTCTTCTTGACCATCAAAATCAAGTAATCAAAATTTCCTCAAAATTAAATCTTCAACCAACCCAACAATTGTTTCAAAAATTCTAACTTTTTTGAATTCTCTGCAGAATCAAAACAGAGAACTGAACATGGAAGGTGAAAAAGAGCTAAGCTTGTACAACAAAGTGTAGTTAAAGAGACATTGTAATCTGTGAATTTACGAAATTAAAATTTATAAAAGTTTCAAACTTTTCATTTCTTGTTTCTCTGTTTGCGTATAAAAACCATTCCTTTGATCCCATCCGGGTCAGAGACGAACCCAAGCGGGCGATAAAACCCGAGAACTCGAGGCTCCGAATACAGAGCGATGTTACAGATCCCTTTCGCTTGTAAATCCTCAATCAACCGCTCCATCACCGCCTTCCCAAGTCCACAGCTTTGAAACGACGGATCAACCACAACATCCCATATAATGGCGTTGAAAACTCCGTCACCGGTCGCTCTCGCAAACGCCACAGGCCGCCGCGTTTTCTCGTACTCCACCCAGAGCAACGCGTCTGTGTGCTGCAACGCCACCTCGATCTTAGCTGTGTCACGACGTGGGAATCCGACGGCTACAAAGACTGAATTCAGCTGATCTAAGTTAAGTCCTTCTGCTGTTCGACGGAGAATAAAGCCTCTGGATTCGAGATCTTCGTCGCTGATTGAGTAGCTTGGTGGCTTACGTTGCATTGCAGCTGGAAACGTAGCTTGTGATGATGATTGGGTGACTGCGTTTTGTGGGTTTAATGTGGACCTTAACCGGAGAGAAGCTGGAGGAGTGGAGATTGTGCCTCCGAGAAACATGGTATACACTATTTCTTGTGAAAGTGTCGAATTTTAGGAGCTCAATTTCATGGAATCAGACAAAAGGATGGTTTTTTAGTTTCCCTGAATCTGGATAAAGTGTGTATTTTGTGTGTGGCTGTGGATAAACGGAGAACCTCTCTAGTCTCTAGCCTTTACTTTGCTTTTCTGTTTTTTTTGAGGAAATAAAGTAAAATCGTGTTTAAATCAGTACGAAGAAACTCGTGGCTGTCAGAGACTATTGTCGTTTGGTAGTTGAGAGTCAAAGAGATACTCTTTTGGCGGGGGATATAGTAGCTTCAAACGAATCCAGAAATGGAGAGAACAAATCCTTAATTACAATAGTTTTTGTGTTTTGCTTCAGTGATTCTCCTTGTTGTATGATTTTGTTAGTCCGTAATAATAATTCTTGTAGTTAATCAAGATTTGTGTTCTTGTGCGGTTTTGTGTTTACCATGTTTGAAGGTCTCTGGCATGTGATCAGCAGAGGATGAGTGATTCTTTTCTATATGTTTTGCTGCATTCTTTCTTGCTCATCAAAGACTTTAGAATCACAGAGCATTTAAGGATCTCTACTGCAGTTCATATGGTATCCATTTTTTGATATCGGAGCTTCCATTGTTTTGTTTCTCGTATCTATCTGCGTATTCAAAGATGGTTTATGTGGTAGATTGTACAAGTTTTGATTAATTACTGAGCTTGTTTCATATTTGAAAATTGAAACTATCATCTGATAGATATATCATGCTTATTTTATGGTGTTGTCCTCATTATTATAAATATCAAAGCAACCAAAACTAGAAGTTTACAGTGGCATATGGCGAGTCCAAGACTCTGATGCATTGAAGCTTGTTCTAACTCCCGAAGAAGCACATCGTCATTGCCATTGTTACTACTTTTGTCTTCAGTTCTGTAGCTTGTAACTAGCAGGTGATGTTTATGTTCTGCTATTTGTTTTTCATCAGTGTCCATCAAAGATCTCTGCAAACCACACCCACTTTATTTTAGAATCCGTTAGTGTTCATGCTGTTGGAGGACCCCAGAGAAAATCTGGATAGCAGAAGTCTTCATAGGACTAGAAAATCCTTGGTCTTCTTTAAGATAGATCTTGTAGGCTGAAGGCGGTAGCATTATTAGATCAAGTCTTCTGTTTTCTTGTCCTTCCAGGTTCATGATGTATTGGTGATTTTCAACAGTTTCTTAAACTTTTTAATGTAGCATTAAGATCTGAAACTAAGAGAGGCTAGGACTGGAAATTTTTCTGTATGTGAAGACTTTTGTTCTTGAATCAGTATAATTCTGAAATGGAGTAAGTTTGGGAATGTTTTTTATTCGATATGCTGGTTGGGTTTCAGATAGCTTCTCTTGTGATCCTGGAACCTTTCATTAGTTAGCGACTCGGTTTCTTGGAGACATGAAATTTTATTTAAAAACCTTACACTTGTGTTGTTTTCTAATGGTACTGTTTTGCAAGGCAATAATAATTGGTGGTTGTTTGTTGTACCAAGACACTGTTGCCTCATCTTTGGTTGTGCAAATGCTTTTACTAATCGTTCTTGATGTCATTGTCAACTAGGAATGGAACGTGCACATGCTATTGTTGACAGAAATGCTGGTTCGTCGCCTTTACTCGTTCAACTCGTCTGGTCCTTCAATCTTCGTGAAGGTGAAATTGGTAGACCAAGTTCAGTGTTTTATGCATTTACCAAGCAACATTCTCTCATGTATCTCACGTTTTGTGGGTCATATAATTAGGTTGGGACGGCCCATCTTTCGTTTTCAGCCTATCTGTTTATTGCTCCTACGTGCATTATGATGGATTGGAGATTACAAAAGTCGAAAGCGACCTGAGAATAACATCAACGTGAGGGTCTTCCTCTTCTGGAAAGTTGCCAGCTATGTTCTTTTCTGTTCCCATTTATTGTGCCTCATTAAGCTTAATACTTTGCATTTGCAATGATTATCTAAAGCTCAATTGATATATTCACCATCTTTTTGTTTTCCAGGATCAAAACCTGATCTTGGTATATCAAAGGGTTGATAAAGCTATCAGTTCAATTGGTTTTGTAAGGATTTGTCTCTATTTTTTGTTTATCTGCTATTTCTCTAATTACAATATAATTTTCTGGCACCGTTTCCTAAACTGTTTCTTGAGCTACTATAAATGCAATTGTTTTTTCTTATAGATAACATGTCATGTTTGTTTTTAACTTCCTCTGATGAATAAGATTGTATTTACTGTTACAAATGGTACCGTTTCCCAAACTGTTTCCTGAGCTACTATAAATGCAGTTATTGTTGTTCTAGTGATAGTTAATTTTCTCTGTTGGGTAATACTTGTATTTACTGTTACAAATGGTTCTCAACTGTGTTGACAACGTGGGAAAGAAATCAGAACAGTTTCATTTCTGATATTTTTCTAATGACTCACTTTCCTGATGTGCAACTAGTTTCTTAAGAAGTGGTTACAAAGAATTTGTAGTAATAGAAAATGACAGATTTTTGAATGATTGCAATTTGTTGTTTTGTAAAAGAATCATGTGAAGCTCTTGAAAATAGCACAACTTTTTGTAAGCAAGCAAAGCTCTGCTGTTAGCTACTTGGGCCACACATCATAGACACCATATTGGCAACCTTAGAAACTCCTGTTTTGTCATCAACCACTTTGTCCTCTACCATGAGCGTTTCTTTTTTTTTCTCGGAAAAAGATTATTAGTATTTTATAACTAATGCTTGCTTTTCAATTGCTAAAGATTGGTTACTGTTGAGGATTAATCAGGAAATGTTTGTTTTCTTCTAAGAATCACCCTCTTGAATCTTGATGGCTCCTGTGTTGAACATGCAGATCAGGATATGCTCTGTTTTGTGTTAGAAGGAAGTCTCTGAAGAACAAGGTACATATTATATAACAGGGTTCCAACGGAGAACCGTGCAGATAACTTATTTAGGACAGCTTCTACAAAAAAACATATTCCGGCAAAAGAAAACAATGCAACTACCTACACATGGCTTATTAAAGGCAAACAACACGATTGGTGAGACCCCTGAAACGTCTCTCTTCACTACAGGATTTGGATTCTTTGTGAACCCCCATATCTTCTTCTCTTATTCGCCATGAGTTTTATTTGGTTTTGCTCACCTTGCCTCTACTCTGGACACGACTAGCTGCACTTGTTCTTGTTTTAGCTTTGAGGTCTGATTTTTCTCCTTCGTTGCTCAATGTTTTCTCTGTGTGTTGGCGTTTTTGAAGGTAGACTTGTTTAGAACCATTCTTCCTAGCTGCATGTTTGTTGATGTTCTTTGGAAGCTGATTGCTAGGCCCCGAGGATGCATCAGAAGCCATGGAATCATCACTCTCTTCATCACCACCATCATCACTATTGTCGCCATCATCGTTCTCATAGCCATCATGAGCCTCTTTTACCTGTGTATCATCATCATCATCATCAACAACAACAGATGAATGGTCATTTCCATGGAAGGCGTCTTCTATGTACATAGTCCACCCTGACTCACAACTGCTGTATTCCTCCTCTTCAGAGCCTCCATGGTTCCTCGGAGACTCCATGGCTTCGAGCAACGGAAAGAGGAAAAGAAAAAACAAGGTCTCAAGATTTGCATATATGCACACACACACAAAGATCACTTGCTTTTTCTAGTTACGTACCTTATGTGATTCAATCCACTTCACCAATATACTCTCTGATATAAGCTCTGTGTCTTTGTCTCTCATTTGCTTTGCTCTTCCATCATCAATAAAATTAAATTTCTTTTGTGTTTTTAGAAGTATCAAGAAAAACCGGAGCCTATAGGAAGCCTCATATAATTGAAGAGAAGGAGTAAGTTTCACCACATGGCAACCCTAGCACCATTGTTTTCACTCAATTGAAGCACTACCAGACAAAGCTCATTGCAGATATATATCAAGAGAAGGAAGGTCAGTGCCTTCTTCATTATAAAGTACTCTCTCTTATAGAATTAAAAGCCTATTGTTCTTCTTTTTCAATATAAACTAAATATACTTTTCTTTAAACAAATATTTTTGGTTCCTAACAAACCATAATCTAGTCTTAGAGTCAGGACACATCAATATCCACATAACAAGAATCAATCTTCTGAGCTCTGTCATTAGTGATATGTCATAGGTTATATATCTTCTTAATTGATATGTTAAGTTTTTACTTCTCTGTACTCACTATCTCTCTCTTCTCTTCTCCCTATGTATCACTCTGGCTATCTTAAATAAAAAAAAGATCAGCTTTTGAGGTGGAAATCAGAAGAGACCCACATCAACAAACAAGAAGGAATAAAAGAAGCATTTACTTAATTAGGTTAAGAGCTGTTCCTCTTCTCATTCCTTTAATACTCTTCTTCCTCCTCCAATCCTCTCTCATTGTCTTTAAAATTGTTGCAGCCTTTTACTTCCTCTCTCATTGTATTGAAAAGGTATTACCCAACTGGATTTTCTTTGTCATTTTTTGTTTTAAAAGATAAGGACAAAACAAAAGGAAGTAATTTTGTTTTAAAAGAGAAGGACAAAACAAAAGGAAGTAAACAACTGTCACAAACCCAAAAAAAAAAAAAAAAAAAAAAAAAAAAAGGACAGAATTTACAAATTACAAGAATAAATTGTCTTCATTGCGTTTCCTGTTTCTCTGGCGTCACCTTAAAATGTTCTTTCAGTGGAGGCCCTCTTGGTGACAGCTTGCAAATCAAAGGGTGTGATGAGAGTTCATATCACAAAAGGGTTGTTTTGTTTTGACTTTGACTCTCCTTTGAGTAATGTTAACAAAGATATTAAGCTTTGTGTGCTTTAAGACATTTTTGAGTCTCATAAGTTAAATACTTAAAAAGAAAAAATAGTTCTGAAAGTGGGTCTCAAGAATTTGGAGAGATGTGTGTGTTAGTTAGGACTATTTATTAGAGTTTGTAATGGCTAAAAAATGGAGTTGGACTCGTTGGATTTACTTTTGTGTGTCTCTTTCTATCAATTGCCCTACGTGTGTGTGTGTGACTCTGGAATGTCATTGTAAGTCACTATTAAGCGTCACCGATTCATTTATTTTTATGAAGTTTAATTTGATAAGTCACAGATTCGGAAGCATCATCGGGACAATGGCTTGACCTCATTGATAATTTTGGTTAGCAAGTCGGTGAGACAAAAGACGGAACTTGATAACAAGTGAATTAGTTTTAAGGTAAAACCGATATTCATTTTATTGTTGGTAAAACCGATATTCATTTTGTTGTTGGTAACTTTTAATCACTAGAACAACCAAATTGAATTCGATGATGAGTACGTTAGTTGTTTGCTTACTTTGGCTTTTACATGTTATGTATATTTTCATTTAAAAAGTCGCTCATACATCAACTTTTTCCTAATCATTATGGTTTTTAAAGAATTAATTACTTGATCAGGGAAATGAAACTTAAAATTTCTAGTGTGCCAATTTCTTCAGATTCTGAAACATGCCCTCTATCGTCCATCCACATCATTCATGCAACTAATAAAATCCGGAACCATCGCCGACACGACTGTTCCTCGAATGTCAAGGTAGAAATTAGTAAATTACAAATGAGTTGAGTTCAACTAAGGACAGGTTAAAGACAACTTTTGATCCTATGTTAGAGCTTAATTAGATTCATTGTCCCTCTATATGTGACGTCATAAGTTACCAAATTTGGTGGGTTTGATGTGAAAAACAATTAAGAAGAGATTTGATAGTAGCAAAGAGAAGTTGTCGGCTGCTTTCTCCCCTGACGAAATCATATTTGTGAATTTGTTAGTAATAATCACAATCCGACATTCTTTGTTTACGTATTTGTACTTTCTCTCACAGCTGTACCCATTTTCACCAACCAACTCAATCTTTTATTTTCTTCCTTTTTAAAAGAAATTATTTCTACTTACTTTCAATATCCAAGAAACAAAATTTTTTTCACCAACTCCATTAAACCTTTATATAATAAGCTCGGCCAAATATCAATGCACCAAGAATTTGCATTGAAAGAAGTCAATGTAATCTTATGATTGAGCATTTTAGCGGGTAGGGTTAAACCGCTAGAATTCAAGCTTATTAAGAGATAATAGGGAGTTAAAAAAAAAAAAAAAAACTATCTAAAGGCAGTGTCTTACCAGATTAGGCAGGCACTCAAGCTTATTGCTTTCGAAACCGGCACTATCCATATGTTAAAAGACTTTGCTACCTTTGTGCTATCGATTTAGAGCATCTCCAAAAGCAACCTTAAATCCTCAAATATGAGGTTTTTTGTTTTCCAAAGGTAACCTCAATACCTCAAATTTTGAGATTTCATCTTTTTATTTGTATTTTGGTCCTTACATTTATTTATATCTTATAAATAATTTTACTAATTTATTATTTTATCATTTTAGTCCTTAACTTTTATGTCTTATAAATATAGATTTTAAGTTCTGATATAACTCTTCGAAACGCATTGATTAATCATAAATGAGACCATTACGGAAATATTTAGGACATCTCCAACCATAACACCATTTTGGTATTGAAATAACACTATATTTAGTGTAGTTTTCACATGAACACATAAATATTACACAAATTAAATTACTACAACAATACTAATACTCATATATCCTTCATCAAATTCCAAACGTGGTCAAATTTAAAACCATTCTTTTGTTTTGGATCTTGTATGTAGAGTTTTTCGGTTTTTTCCATCTACAGAGTATTGAAAAATAGAATTTGTTAATTAAAAAATTATTTATAAATCAAGTAGAAAACAAATGTACTTACGATATCAAATTTGGACGCACCATTTGGATGCATATTCTCCACTTGGGTGATGCAGTTCTTCAGATTCCTAATAGCATATGTAATGTTATTCATCCTATTCTGTAAAGATCTTATGTTTCTAATTTCCCAGTCCTCCGGTTTCTTTTCGTGGTAGCTTTTACTTATTTTTTCCCAAAATTTTCCCACAGATTGGTTATTATTACCAATTAGATCTTGTGATATTTCTAGATACACACAACATAACAACTCATCTTCATTTTGATTGAATGATGAGCCTCTATTTTTTTCCATATTTTTTAGTCACAAGAAGAGTTAGTCGAATTGTGATATTATCATTCCATAGAAGTCTATTATTTATGCACAATGAATGGAAAACCCTAGTTCAAAGGAATGGCCACAAACCAATTTCTAGATTTTCTTATCTAAAATTTTGGATAGGATTTCAATCCAATGGTTGGTGATGAGTGAGATATAATGAATGACGTTGATGAAATTCACATTTTTTTTTATCTATATCTAGGATAAGTTATAGTTTAGATAGAATTTGAATCCAACGGTTGATGAGGAGTGCGATCTAATAAATGGCATAGAATTTAAATTTAGTTTTAATTTATGATTTCGTTTGTGTGTTTTTATTATTACTTTCTATAATTTTATAATATAATATAACATCTTATTAATTAATACTGCTTGTAAATTTCTAATGTATGTTTTATTGTTATTTATAAAAGTTTTATGATTTTTTTTAATTATAATCAATAATAAGGACTATTATGCAAAATATAAATTCTTTTGAAGTTAAATTTGAGGTTTTCTTTTGGATAGACACAACCCTAAACCTCAAATTTGAGGTTTGGCAAACCTCAAATATAAGGTCCCCTTTGGAGATGCTCTTAGTTATTTTTCTATTAAGCGTTGTGACATTTAACAAAACTTCAAATATTTTTTATGAATATTTTTTTGTATATTAATCGATTTGGATTCACCACTGACTGTGATTTATTTGTTTTGTTTATATTTTTCTCATCTACTAAGATAATTGTGTATTGATTATCAATATAATAAATTAACAATTATATCAACTATAAAAGTATATATATATATATATAAATATCTAAAAAAATAGTAAAATATAAATATAATGTTGGTTGCTTATATTTCAATTTGCCTTAATTATTTGTTTCTAATATTTGTATTGTATCAAACAAAATTTGTCTTGTCTTCTACACATGAGAATTAATTTCTTATTTGTTATTTATACTTTTAAAAATATTAATTATGACCAAAAATCTTACTTTTCATCAAAAATATCTCACTTTTAATCAGAAATCTATAAAAATTTAAGAATTAGGCAAATTAATCTAAAAGTTAATAATTATTAATTTAAAATCGATAAATTAATATTTTAGTCTCAACATTATTAATTTATAATAGCATTCTTTATTTGCTCTTACAAATTAAAGTAAAGTCAAGTGGATACTCTTTTTAACTTTCTTCCCATTTTTAAGGGTTGACTTTGAGGAAGACGAAGAACAAGAAGTGATAAACAGAAATAATGTTACGCCAATTTTTGCAGGATCTTGACTAGATGGATCTGAAGCTCTTGAGTCGGGATTGGGATCATGAGTCTTACCCTGCTTTTTCTGATTTATGGGTCCTCATCTTCTTTGCTCCCTTCTTCCTTTTTCTTCGCTTAATCCTCGACAGATTCATATTCGAGGTAATCGACTAGGTTCTGTTTGTTTTCTATCTCTTCGTATTCATTATGACTTGGGAAGCAAGTAATCTCTCATGAGAAACCTATCTGAGAGGTTCATAATTAAACTATAGAGGGTCGCTAGAAGACTGGTAGTTCCTAGAGGACACTATGGTGATTCAAACGAGAGAAGAAAGAAGATAGTGAAATTCAAAGAATCGGCTTGGAAATGTTTGTGCTCTTTCTCTGTTGAAGCTCTTGCTCTCTACGTCACCTATAAGGAGCCATGGTTTAAAGACACAAGATGCTTCTGGTTAGGACCAGGGGACCAGATATGGCCTGACCAAAAGATAAAGTAGAATATATAAACTTAATTTAATGTGTTACGTGAGACGCAAGACACTTTCAACTATGCCGCAACCCTAATAATACGGACTTTTTCGCAGGTTGAAAATGAAGGGAATGTATATGTTTGTAGGAGGGTTGAATGTATATGCCTTTTTTGCTTTGTTTTTTTGGGAAACAAGACGATCTGATTTCAAAGTCATGTTAGTTCATCACATTGTAACTTCATTCCTCATCATCTTGTCTTACGTTTTCAGGTACTCGTATACTAATATTATAAGATAGTAAAAAATTTCTTAAGTCCACCAGACTCTTAACTTTAACTTCCTCTTTTTATCCTTTTCTTTACTAGATTTGCTCGTATTGGTTCTGTAATATTGGCTCTTCACGAAATCAGCGACGTGTTTCTAGAGATAGGCAAGATGTGCAAATACAGCGGCGCAGAAGCCATGACTAGTGTCTCGTTTGTCCTATTCTTCTTGTCGTGGACCGCTTTGCGACTCATCTATTACCCTTTCTGGATATTATGGAGCACCAGGTTCATACTCTAAACCCTGACCCCTCAACTCTATACATAAATAATGCAATGTTATTGGATCCATATGATCTTTTTTGGTTGATCTCTACGTATATATATATGGACCTATATGCAGCTACGAATCAATAAAAGTGAAAATGGAGTACTGGGACAAGAAGAATTTGATGGAAACTGGACCAAACCTTATGGTCTTCTACTATGTCTTCAACACACTTCTTTATTGCTTACAGATTCTTCACATCTACTGGTGGATCTTGATATATCGTGTGCTCATAAGCCAAATTCGTGCCAAAGGCAAAGTCGCTAAAGACATTCGTTCTGGTTAGATTTATATATGCATACATATCTAACCCAACAACTTAGGATTACATTTTTTGTGAAATTCTACATTTCACGGAATTTTTTATTTTAACCAATTTGTCTTCAATTATTCTTTTTGCAGATTCTGAAGGTGAAGATGATGAACACCACGATTGATTTAAGCAGCAGTGATGTCAACCTAATAAAAAGCATCGTTATTTTCCAATTGATTAGCGAAGTGTAACATTTGATAATCAATATTATCTACTTCATTACGATTTTATAAATGCAGAGAGGACATAAGTAATTCATGATCAAATAAAATAAATTAACTGTTGCCAATTCTGAAGATCTCTTCTTTCTCTTTGGAAATTAAACACCAATTACAAGATTCGATAAATAATCTCATTAGATTGCTTATCCTTTTCCTAAACCAAATCTATTGGGCTCACAATGTTGTTGAAGCCCTATTTTAAGTCTTTTAATTGGAAATGAGTTGTTTAAGAAAAGTATAGATAAGTTTATGAATATACTTTTATAAAGAAACTTATCTTTACAAGAGCTATACTAACTAATGAAGTGAGATAGACGAACAAAAACGATCAAAAACACTAAGATAAAACAGTAATTACCCAGAAAAGATCTCAATAAACCCAGAATAAAAATGCATAAGATCAATCTAAAGTCAGATTCCTAAAGAAAGATAAGATAATTAATGAGTCCAAGCTCTAGGCCTGGGATTTCGGTTAACCGTTCGGTTATCGGTTGGATCCATTCGGTTTCGATTCTTTCGGTTTCAAAATTTAGTATCCATTCGGATATTTTGAAATTTCGGTTCGGTTTCGGTTCTTTCGATTTTAAAATTTAGTATCTATTCGGTTATTTTGCTTAAGATATTTTCGGATATTTTAGTTATTTTTGAGTATTTTCGGATATTTTTGGATATATTTCGGTTATTTTCGAGTATTTTTACTATTTTTATATATTTTTCAAGTATTTTTGATTATTTGGTCTATAAATAACTATTTATTTTGAAAATATAATTGTATTTCGGGTATTTCGGTTACCCAAAATATTTCGGTTACCCAAAATATTTCGGTTCGGTACCGATTCGGTTATGGTTATTTCGGTTATATAATTTAGTATCCATCCGGTTATTTTCAAATTTTCGATTTGATTTGGTTCGGGTTTTTTTTTTATTCGGTTCGGTACATTCGGTTCGATTTATTTGTCTAGGCCTACCAAGCTCTATACTTGTGGGCTGTGGCGTCATAGTGGAGTTGAAATCGAACTCTATCGACGTAACAAAAGTTGGAAAATCCATAATATATTCAGAACATATTTGTAAACAACGTCACGGTGTTACATAACCAGAACTTTTTTCTACACAACCAAAAAAAAAAAAACTCTAGATCTGATACACAATCAGACTCTATGCTTGTTTTAGATCAACTGTGCTTTTTTTTTTTAATGATTCTTTTTTACGTAGTAAATTTTTTTATATGAATTGACACCAATAAAATTTTGAAAATGTTCCAATTTACATTAAGTTTTAAATATATTTCAGTCCAACTGTAACTATGAACCCGACTCAATTATAAGTTTGAATCCAACCCAATTGTAATATTGAACCCATTATATGAAACAATAAAAAAATGAGATAAATATTCAAATTATTGGAACCCAATTCAAGTTATAAAAGCAAACGTGAAGCCCAATTATTCAAATTATAAAAAGCAAATAATTTTAATCCAACCCAATTGTAATCTGTAGTAATAAAATAACCTAATAATACATGTTTTGTTTGATTGACGATTCATTTTCTTAAGAAAATCACTTCACCCTTCATTCTTCTCTCTCGAAGAAACTATCGTCGTTGTCAAAGTTCAATTTTAGGTAACAAACTTTCAATCTTTCATACATTATATTGTTTGATTTTTGCTTTTTGACAATCGCTTATAATATGTTATGTTGCCAATTGCCATCGATGAAACATTTCATAATGAAACTAAGAAGATATTTTAGAAATTCAGGATAATCTTGAGATTAAATCCTTTAACAAAAAGAAAAGAAAAAGAGAAGGATAACTTCAGATTACAGTATGAAGCAATGTTTTTAGTCTACGAGATAATTCTTAACAAATATTGCATAAATCTTATAAGGATCTTAAAATTAGAGATAAGTATAAAATTTTGAGAAAATAAAATATTGACATTAAAGAATTATACGGTATTCAACCTTTTTAGATGACCCAACAAAAATATTCAAATTGAACGTAATTATATAGGTAATTAAATAAATATTAAAAATGTAGACGAACGGCCCCATGAACGGCTCACTTTTTTTTCTTCTTTTCATACTCAATCATTAAGCTTTCTTAAATTAGGGAAATGCCGAAAGGGAGAAAGGTAGTCATATTTTGTATTTATGTCTGTCCTTTTTAATCATATGATTCACTTTATTTTTAAGTTTTGTTTTATTATTACCTATGTTTCACTTTATTATTTTTAAAAGTCCACAAGAAACAAATTACACATTTATGAGGATTAAATAAACAAAACTGTGTTTTCTACTCATTAATAAATTAGAAGAGTGTGGAGCCACATGAAAAAGAAGTGAACCTATTCATGAAAGAAAGATAAAAAAAAAACACTTGGGTCGTGAAGAGAGCATGTGAGTGTTGTTAGTGTACGAACTACGAAGTCAGAGAGAACCAAATTGCACTCAACAACATGTGGATCCTCGTCACATTCACTCATAAGTCATAAGCCTATGAACTACCCTCTACGGCTCTACAGCAGTACAGCTTCTTGCCTTTTTTTTATTTCCCATTTTCTTCAAGTTGTATTGAGTTCACTGCTTTAGTTACACTTACATATGGATACATAAAAAAAAATGATACCAAATTAGATTTGATTAGTATCATATGGTTTCTCCAATTTTATAGATCACACAACATTATATAAATAATTAAAACATTAACAAAACATATGGTCATGAAGAGTAAACGAAAATTTGACATATGTTTTTAGAAATGTAAATCGTTTACTTTTTTTTTCACATGCCTTAATTTCATAAGTAATAAATTACCATTTGTCAAACGAATTTTTCAACATATTCATCTCTTTACAAAGTGAATAAAAATAAATATAATATTCTAACATTCTAATTAGGTAATTGAAAATTTATCTATATAGACTCTTTATTTATTTATTAATTTTTTTTGGATTATCACTTATGAATAAAAAAACATAATACAATGCGACGATAAACACAATATCTAATTTATTACTTTTAATAATATCAATGTTATTAAAAATTTATTTAGATAAAAACAGAAAAGATCGAACGGAAAAAAGGAAGAGGCAATGAAAAGTATTAAATTGGTTCTCATTCATTCTACTCTCAAAGTTACCTCGGGGGTCTTCTGAGATCTTTTCCCCAGATTCTCTAGAAATCGCTCTCCCCGATAAAGAAGAAGCTCTCAGAAAATTCCTCTCTCTCTCTCTCTCTCTAATTCCCCATTATTTGTTTCTGTGTTAAATTGAATTGCGACTTAACTCTGCCAAAGTGACAAGTCCCGATTCGCAGTAATACCGATAGATTTTTCTGTGTGAGTGCCATACAAACTCCGAGAAATCGGCTCAAGTTTCGATTTTTGTTTCTGGGTTTTACCTTTTTCACCAACCTGTTTGTGATTTTTTGTTCTGGGTGTTGTTGTTATATAACAGTTTGATCGTTTCTTCTTGATGGTTTTTTTTTGGATTCGTTTCTAGCTTTCGCTTGTATGACTGCATTTTGATGATAATTTCATATCCGCTACTTTCGTTAACGTTCTATTGCGATTAGAGTGTTGCGTTTATCTTAAGTCTGCTTCACTCATTCGTCCATGGGTTTAAGAGTAAATATCACTGTTCCTTTAAAATGTTCCGTACAATTCAGTCTTGCTATTTGTGTTTTGGCTCTCTTTGCTTTGGTCTCTCCATGTTCCCAGCTTAAAATTCTGTCTTCTTAATGAAAATGTACCTTTTTTTTTGCAGATTATTGTTCATAATGGGTCAAGACAGCAATGGGATCGAGTTTCATCAGAAGAGACATGGTCTCTTGAAGGATCAAGTCCAACTGGTTAAGAGAAGAGACTCTGTTCGGTATGAAATAGTTCCTATTCAAGATCGGTTGTCATTTGAGAAGGGCTTCTTTGCGGTTATCCGTGCGTGCCAATTGCTTTCTCAGAAGAATGATGGGATCATATTGGTTGGGGTTGCTGGACCTTCTGGTGCTGGAAAGACTGTATTCACCGAGAAGATACTCAATTTTCTGCCAAGTGTTGCTGTCATATCAATGGACAACTATAATGATGCTAGTCGAATCGTTGATGGAAACTTTGATGGTAAGACTTTTTTCATGCATGTTTCAGGAGTAATGAACTCTTATGACACATTGTTTTGAAACTTGAAGAATCTTGCTGCTGACAAACCTTATGTTTCGAAACTTAGATCCACGGTTAACGGACTATGACACATTGCTCAAGAATCTTGAAGATTTAAAGGAAGGAAAGCAGGTTGAGGTTCCCATTTATGATTTTAAGTCCAGCTCTCGTATTGGATACAGGTAATGGATGACGTGATTGTACAGTTTCCATTTGCTGATTCAGTCATCATTTTGTACTTTATCTACACAAATAAACCACTTGGTGCCCATTGTCACAAAAGTTTGATATAACATTCACATCAGCATGGTTTTTGGTTATTCCACTGAAGACATTGTGTTTAATGCCATGCTTTAATTTTGCTAGGACCCTTGATGTCCCAGCTTCTCGGATTGTGATTATTGAAGGAATCTATGCTTTGAGTGAAAAACTGCGTCCTTTATTGGATCTCCGTGTGTCTGTTACTGGTGGAGTTCATTTTGACCTTGTTAAACGGGTTCTCCGTGATATACAACGTGCAGGTCAACAGCCAGAGGAGATTATCCATCAGATATCGGAAACGGTTTGTCTTCATTTCTTTTATCTCCTGTGGCTGTTATTGGTTTAGTCTATGACCTGCGGATTGGTCATAGTATCAACTTCACTGTTTATGCAGGTATACCCGATGTACAAAGCTTTCATTGAGCCAGATCTTCAGACTGCTCAAATCAAAATCATTAACAAATTCAACCCCTTCACTGGTTTTCAGAGCCCGACTTACATCTTGAAGGTTTGAAAAATGACTGGATTTTTCTATCCATCTTATATTACTAATCACTGCTCTGCAATCTCAGTATTCAACTATTGACTGCGATTGGTAAACTGAAGTTCTTTTACTGTTACTTTGTTGTAGTCAAGAAAGGATGTATCTGTTGATCAGATCAAGGCGGTCCTTTCTGAAGGACATACAGAGACCAAGGAAGAGACTTATGATATATATCTTCTTCCTCCAGGTGAAGATCCAGAGTCGTGCCAATCATATTTGAGGATGCGGAACAAAGATGGAAAGTACAGCCTTATGTTTGAGGTTTGTTGAGAGTTTTCTTTCCATGTTCTCTTGAATATGACTTTTCAATTTCTGGAAAAGCTGACAATCCTCTGATTCTGGAAATGGTAAGATGCTTAATATCTGGTGAATAACTGTGGTTCTGGTTTTGACGACCAGGAATGGGTTACGGATACTCCTTTTGTCATATCCCCAAGGATTACATTTGAAGTCAGTGTTCGCCTACTTGGTGGGCTCATGGCATTGGGATACACAATAGCAACTATACTTAAAAGGAACAGCCATGTATTTGCTACTGATAAGGTGTTTGTGAAAATCGATTGGCTTGAGCAACTGAATCGTCACTACATGCAGGTCTATCAATCTATACTCACTCACCACCATTTGCTAGAAAATTGATCGTTCATATGGCTTTATGATGACACTCTTGTTCCCAATTACTATGAAATTACTTTATTCCCCTAAAAGAATATGACTACAATATTCAAATTTTGTTATAAACAGGTGCAAGGTAAAGATCGGCAACTTGTACAGAGTACTGCAGAGCAGCTAGGATTGGAAGGATCATTCATTCCACGCACCTATATTGAACAGATCCAATTGGAAAAACTAATAAATGAAGTAATGGTATGTTTAGCTGTTCGGGTCTACGAATTTTGTTTTGATTACATTTTATATTGGGTCCTGATTAAAAGTCCCATCGCAGGCCCTACCAGATGATCTAAAGAACAAGCTTAGCTTAGATGAGGATTTTGTGTCTAGTTCAAGCCCTAAGGAAGCACTCTTACGAGCTTCTGCAGATAGAGTAGCCATGAGAAATAAGAACCTCAAAAGGTACACTTCTTTTGAGGAGTGTATGAGAAAGCTTTGTTACTTCCAACCCATGTGTCCTTAGTTATGCCATTTATTATACACAGAGGCATGTCACACTCATATTCAACCCAAAGAGATAAGAATCTGTCGAAGCTTGCTGGTTATTCTTCAAGCGATAGGAGGTACGAAGAAAGAAATCACGACTCGCCAGCGAACGAGGTTCAAATTTGTTCTCTTTCATTCCCTATTGGCAACTTTGAAGTCTTCCTTTTAACTTAAGGGTGCACTTCTTCTATTTTTCAACTATTTTTAGGGGTTTATGACTCAGCTTTCAGAACAAATATCATCTCTCAACGAGAGAATGGATGAGTTCACAAGTCGGATCGAAGAGCTAAATTCAAAGTTGAGCTGCAACAAAAACTCTCCAACACAGCAGAGCTTGTCAATCCAAACTGAAGTCTGCAATGGGTCAGCTCCTACTTCGTATTTCATTTCTGGTCTGGACAATGGCTGCCTGACAAATTCCATAATGCCCCATTCATCATCATCCTCCCAATTAGCCAAGGATTCACCATTAATGGAAGAGGTAAGTAACCTCACACATCCCTCGTTTATGAATTTGGATTTTATTGCATTGCTTTGTATCGACGAGCTGCTCTGTTTCTGGTGCAACCAGATATCAACCATTTCACGTGGACAACGTCAAGTCATGCATCAGTTGGATAATTTGTGCAATCTGATGAGGGAAAGCTCAGCGGAAAGGTCACGCCTAGCAAGAACAGGGAGCAGCAATAGCAGTAACAGAGGCAGATCAAGCAAAAGCTCCTTCTTGTCCAATGTGGAATCTAAGAAGCTCCCTCTCATGTTAACCGTGGCTTTTTGCAGCATAGGCATCGTACTGATCAAGAGCTACATTAACAAGCGGCAATAACATCTATTAACCACTATGGATCTTCTCTTCTTTTTTGTTCTTTTCTTTTGGTATTTTTCTCACTGGAGGCGTTTTGTGAGCTTCCCTGGTTTCTCTACGTAGACAATGACGCCAGTTCTCTTCCCCTAAATTAGTCGTTTGGAAGACATTCTCGATTAATTTATTCAATAAAGTTTAGTTTTTAGTTTAGCAGTCACTTCTTTGGGACAAGGATCAACACAAGACCTGTATGCAGTGTCATACTCATTCAGAGGAAAAATCAAGAGTTGTCCGACACTGGTTTAGATATATCCCAACTTCATTACACCAAAATTCAAATAAAGCACCAATGAAGCGAGTCTTCAAAGTGGAAATTGCAATGTACAATCCATGAAAATTGATCAACGATCTAGACCAAGAGAACAATATGATGCAACCACTTGATTTTACATTGGGTTGAATGTTGTTTGTTTCATCATAGGTGATGATGACCGATGATCTGAGTTCATAAATTCTTTTTATCCATTATATATGCATATAGACATCACCACCTACTTTATAAGTACTACATATATGTTCCACCAGAATTGCTCAAACCATGTTTGGAGTCTCCAATGGAGCTGCAAAAAATAGGAGCTGAACAGAGATCCTGATTCCCATCATATAGCCTTGTCCAACCAAGCTGGTAATCTCAACGAAGATTTCATTCCGAGTCTTGTGAGGAAGATTGAGTATAGCAGATGCAGCAACAGCACAAAGAATCCACTGTTTAGCAACAGCTGTTGATAATCAAAGCAAAAGGTTCTCAGCTTCTTTAATTAATTTCCAGAGATAAACAGAGAGCAGCGGGATAAAGAGATTGCATACCACTGTCCCAAATATCATATAGATGAGGCTCATTGAAGGCATTATGTTCAGGCCCATGGCCGTGAAAACATAAGAGAGAGAGGCGTGGATGTTAATTGTGATCTGGAATAACACAATGCCGTGGTGGTTTTATTTGTACAAGAGTTTCTTTGTGTGAAAAAGAGTGATAGTTTTTTTAGGGATAGATGCAGCTTACCACAGCGAGAATGTTTTCTCTTATTAAGAAGGATGATGTCAGAACATAGCCTATGAGACCCAATGCTCGAACCTGCGTGGGAGGAAACATGATAATACAAGTAAACAAGGAGAGGTAAGGAAATGTCAATCATAGGAAGCAGACAATTCACCATTGTGCACACGAAAATCGAGAGACGCCAGCTTGCCCCCATCCTGAGAACAGGAGAATATTTCAAAAAATAAACAACTGAAATAGAGTTAAGCTGAAGTAATCTACTTCCAGAACGTCAGTCATAAAGACAGGAAATAGTAAGATGTATGTTTTAGTTGCGATGGAGAACTAGAAACTGTGCAAGATAGAGAGGAGTGTATGTATTCACATACCTCCACAATGATCCCAGTGCAAGCCCCACAAGACCATGAGTAAGCTACAAAAATAAATCTCCACAAGTTAAACAATGGTCAAGTATCAGGAGATAAAACTCTGCTTGAGCAAACTAGCAAAGCGGAGGCTTACAAAGTAAGTTAATGCTTTGACCGGACCTGATAATATGAACAAGAGCATGACAGTAGCAACCTGAGAAACAAACAAACACCACAAAGACTTGAAGCACATATCCACAAAAAGACTTGAAACTCATACTACTAAGGTGAGAAAGAAGAATGTTGTTCACAAACCATTGTCTTCCTGCCACCAGCAATATTCCATCTTATCGAAGAAATCACGATTGGTAGTGAGAAGAAACACCCAAAGTAGTTCTGCGTTCAAAATGTAAAACTCATACTCATTATAAAAGGAACAAGTAAATATGAAATGTTTATCACACTAACGATACAAAAAAAGAACGATGATCTTCCCTCAACACATATCAGTTCTAATGGAAATTATAGAGGCTAGAGAAAAATATGAACTAAGAACCTCAATGGCGAGAGAATTGCTGAGAAAGTAAACAAGGCCAGTGACAGCAGCGAACATGGCACACTCCACTAATCTCAGCGTTTTCTGGTAAACCACTTCATCTCCTTCCTCCGCCGAAGCGTAATTTCTCTCGGATTCTTCTTTCTTCCCATCCTCTTGATTACCATAAATCGAAGCACCAGAGACACTCGAGAATGCGGAGCACCTTCGATGATTAGAGATAGAAACGAGGGAGATTATGGGTCTTTGTGGAGAGAGTGAAACAGATGAATAAGAAGAAGAAGGAAAGGAGCGTGTAGGGGCAAAACGGTAAAATTGAGTAATGGTGGACTGGTGATGAATCGTTTTGAGGAGATTCATGGAGGCGAAGACGAAGAACGACGACGACGAAGCTCTCTTCTCTTCTCCTCCGTCTATCTTAAAATCTCGAGATGACACAAAACCGGATTTATACCCAATTAAACCGACTGGATTAATCCGGTTTGGTAATTGTTTCCTCTGGTTGCTTCCTTCTTCTGCAACCTCTCTGACTCTCTCTATAAAGGGTTTCGACGACAAAGGTGAACTACTTAACTCCATTTCTACTGTTTCTCCGACATCCTCCTATAGGAAGCAAAGGGACAAGCGGGAATTTGAAAATTGAGGAAGCAAAAACAATTTTTCAACACTCAATTTCTTGATCCCATCTGGAATTTGAATTTCACTACGATTCCGTCGATTATTCTCTCAATGGTGGTGGACCAAGATCAGCAATGGCTGCTGGGTTGCTTATCAGCAAGTCTTGACCCTAACCAGAACGTTCGTTCTTTCGCTGAGACTTCTCTCAATCAGGCTTCTCTTCAACCAGGTTCGTTGCTTTAAATCGTTTGGGTTTCTTTCGAGCTCGTTGCTTCTCTTCTATAGATTCTTTTTTTTTGTAGTTAGATTTTACCAACTGAACCATGAATAGCCTCGGTCTTGTTCTTGATGTCATAAGTTCTGATAGATGAACAAAAGAAGAAGATCATTCATAAGATGTTTGCTTCTTGTAGGGTTTGGCAGTGCATTGTGCAGAGTTGCTGCTAACAAAGACCTCTCATTGGGATTGCGTCAAATATCCTTTTCATAGAGCTTGTTGATTGATATAGTGAAGTCTAACCCTTTTTTTTTCGCTTGTGAAGTTCTTAACCTACTGTTACTTAGCTGCTGTACTGTTAAAGCAGTTCATTAAAAAACATTGGCGAGAGAATGAGGAGGCTTTTGAATATCCACTTGTCTCAAATGAGGAAAAGGTACTCTCCCTGTCTTCTTTTATTGTTTGTTTGGATTTCCTGCTGCGATAGATTTGCAAATGTTTAGGAAATTCTTTTGGTTATGTTATTAGGCTCTTATTCGAGGACAGTTATTGGGCTCACTTGATGACTCTCATAGAAAAATCTGTACGGCTATTAGTATGGATATATCGTCAATTGCCACATATGATTGGCCAGAAGAGTGGCCTGAACTAGTCCCCTTTCTTCTCAAGTTAATTAGCGATCCAAGTAACACTAATGGAGGTATATTTTCGATCAATTTTGTTAGCTCTAGAGGCATATTCTTTATTATCACCATTTCTGTACTCTTTCATGAGAATAGTTACGAGGTTTCCTGAGGCTGAATTTATTTCCATATTCAACAGTTCATGGAGCTTTGAGGTGTTTGGCTCTTCTCTCTGGTGAATTGGATGACAAAGAGGTTCCTACGCTGGTACCTGTGTTGTTTCCTTGCTTGCATGCAGTCGTATCTTCTCCTCAGGTTTGTATCTTTATGTTGATACGATCAGACTCATGTTGAATCACGTTTTTGGCATGTCAAGGTCTCTTAAGTGAAAATTTTAGTAACAGAGGCCCTCATGGAGCTCACTTCTTTGTATATGTAGAGCTATGACAAGTATATTCGAGGAAAAGCCCTTTCAATTGTTTATTCATGTATATATGTTCTTGGAGCAATGAGCGGTGTGTACAAGGTACTTTTTCTTTAATAATTATTATTGTACATACATCTTGAATGTGATTTGCTTCAGCTACTTCTGTTATCACTTGACATATATAATGTGTTTATATTCAGATGGAAACTACTACTTTGGTGACACCTGTGCTTAAAGTTTGGATGAATCAGTTTTCACTTATATTGGAACATCCTGTGCAACGCGAGGATCCTGATGATTGGAGCTTAAGAATGGAGGTTCGTCTCATCTTGTAATTGTCTTACTTTTGTTCCCATTAAACTCCCGGAATTGTATATCGGGCCCCTGTCCCCTGTCTTTGCGTTGATTTTACCTCCTCTCATTAGGTCTTGAAGTGCTTAAATCAGTTTGTACAGAATTTCCCATCTCTCATTGAAAGTGAATTGATGGGTATGTTCTCGAGTGTGACCCATGTACCTTTTTTTATTCATACATATGCATCTGAAGCATCATTATTGAAACATAATATATGTGCAGCTATTATGAGGCCATTGTGGCACACATTTGAGTCATCTCTACAAGTTTATCTTCGATCGTCAATTGATGGTGCTGAAGATTCATATGATGGAAGATATGATTCAGATGGTGAAGAAAAGAGTCTTGACACTTTTGTCATCCAGGTAACTTAATAATTTTAAGTGATCAAGGTTTGTTTTCCTTCAAGGTCTCAATTTCGAAGTTAGTCTTTTAGTTAGAACTTAGAACTGGGGCATTTGGCTCATAGATTATGGTATTTTGATGAGTTTGAGGCCAAGTGAGACTTGTTTCTGTGCAGCTATTTGAGTTTCTGTCAACTATCGTTAGCAGTAGAAGACTGGCAAAGGTTTGGCTGAAACCCTTTCAGTTTTTTTTTCCCCTTCATTTTGGTCGTATGTTGCTTTGGAATTGGTTTCTTACAGAAATATGTTTATATCAGACCATTGCCGGTAATGTCAGAGAGTTGGTGTATCAAACCGTCGCTTTCCTGCAGATTACAGAACAACAGGTAAAGATGAATCATGCATCTTCTGCTACTCAGACATAATAATATATATTGGTTATATTTAAAACTCGGATGATAAGATGAATCTATCAAGGGAAGTTTTACAAAGCTAGACAGCCTATCTATATATGACGAAGTAATTGTTTTGTTGTGTAATAGAACTTATCTCTTGCTATCTCAATGAATAAAAGATGGCCAGAAGGCTTAACCATTTTACCATAGCTCTGGAACTTCTGTTACTCTTTGTATATCCCTTATTTCCGTAGGGGTAATATCTGTTTCCAATGCATATGTTTATTTTATAGTTTAACGTATCTCACTGTACCAAGTCACAAACTTTTGGAACCGTTTCATTCTGTTGTTAGTATTAGTATCACAGACTGTTCGGGAAATACAACTATTGCTGTGCCTATATATTGTATGCCATGTAGTAATTTCATGCTGTGGTTTATGTACGCAAATTTGCTGCTAAAATCTTGAAACAACAAGATTTCTAGAATCTTGAGCTAGCTGAGATACAAGATATAATATACTGTTTTTAGCTAGCTGTCTCACCCCTTTCCATTAAATTAGGTCTCACAAAATTACACTGAATCTTTTGTTGTTATTTGCTCTAGCTTCCTATTTATTTGCTAGCATAAGTTTAATTATAAAACATATATGTCTAGCATCTGAGATAAGACATGCCTTTATTCTTTATCTCATATGTTGCTTCTCTCCAGGTTCATACTTGGTCCATGGATGTAAATCAGTTTGTAGCCGATGAAGATGAGGGTAGCTACAGTTGTCGTATATCAGGTAAGCTGTCTCTCACTCTTCTTAAGTCAAAATCATATGCTTATGCATAGTCTGAGACCAGATTTGGAGGTCGTATGCATATATCAATATCCAAAATTTATAAACGTGTAACTATAAAACTACCTGCTGCACCACAGGAATTCTTTTGTTGGAGGAAGTTATCAATGCTTTTGGTAGCGAAGGGATCAATTCTGTTGTAGATGCTACCGGAAAACGGTTCCAAGAGTCTCAAGGTGAAAAGGCAGCTGGTTCTCCGTCCTGGTGGAGAGTAAGTGCACTTAATTCTCTTTGTTATTGTATTTCTTGAAAGGTTTGACTAGCCATTTTTTCTCTGATATTTTGACATTGTCACCAATTCCGTGAGATTCTATCTTTTTTTTCTCCCATATTCAGTTTTTATTTTTAACTTTACGACTTACTTTCATATTTTTCCATTTGTTAGATAAGAGAAGCTGTGCTCTTTGCTTTGGCTTCTCTTGCTGATCAACTTGTTGAAGCTGAGGTTTGTGTTTTCCATGGCAATTTTAAAAAACGAAAAAATTACTTAAGGTGGGAAACATTTTATCCTTATATTATAATCTTTTCAGGACTTGAGAACTGACCCTGCCAATTTAGCTAAATTTGTTGAGCAATTGATAATGGAAGATACTGGAATTGGTAGGTATTGTAAGATCTACTGCTCCAACATTACTTCTCATTTGGTATTCAAACTGTTGTACATAACTGGAGCCTTTATTTAACAGGGTATCATGAATGTCCTTTCCTTTATGCCCGCATATTTACAGCCGTTGCAAAGTTCTCTTCTGTGGTAATTTTTTTTTGTTTTGTTTTCTCCCTAAATAACTCTAATCTGGAAGACATGAATTGAATCTTTTCCACTTTAATCAGATCAACCCTGGAATCCTTGAGCACTTCCTCAATGCTGCTGTTAGAGTTATAACCATGGACGTGTATATTTTCTACCCTTCTGCAATTCTGCTGTTTAGTATCTTTATCGACAGAGATTAAAGTTAGATACTATTATTAAACAGGCCGCCACCTGTAAAAGTAGGCGCATGTCGGGCACTTTTGCAGCTCCTACCCGATATGAACAGTTCAGTTATTCTGCCTCAGATCATGAATTTATTCTCATCTCTCACTGATCTTCTCCATCAGGTAATTTTTCTACAGACTGCCTTTTTAGCACACCGCGTGTGTCTATTTTACTTTTGTGTCACTCGAGATTTTTATTCTTTTATTCAGGCTTCAGATGAAACTTTGGTTTTGGTACTTGAAACTCTTCAACAAGCAATAAAAGCTGGTAAGTATTCATATTTTTCCTTCTTGCAAAAAAAATTCAGAATCTAGCTATGCAGTAGTTCCCAGCTATATCTTATTTTCTTTATTATTTGCTAGGCCATGAAGCATCAGCTTCAATAGAGTCTATTATTTCTCCAGTGATTCTTAATGTGTGGGTGGCACATGTTTCAGATCCCTTTATGTGTATCGATGTAATTGACGTCCTGGAGGTAAATAGAGTGATTGTGGTTATCATTTTCTTTGTTGTTAGAAATGCAATTTGCCTAGTTTGTTTATGCTAATCTCTTACCACTGCTTATATAGTCTAAAATGAACAAAAAAATACTATGTTTGTGGCTAATTTCTTTCCTATGGCTGTCACACAGGCAATAAAGAATTCGCCTGGTTGCCTTCATCCACTGACATCAAGGATTTTACCATTCATTGGACCAATTTTAAATAAGGTGCTGTGCAGAATCATGATTTCAAGCCTGTTTTTCCTCGCTTTGTTTTACTATCTTTCTTCCCTGGTTCCCTTTTAATGACATCTCTGTGGTGATAATCAGCCACATCAGCAGCCTGCAGGACTAGCGATTGGATCCTTGGATCTTTTAACTATGCTTCTTAAGGCAAGTTATACTAGCTGGATTTTCATATTACGTGAATAATTTTTTCTACTAAATGGACAGTATTTCTCGTTTTTGCTGACTATTTTTCTAGTCATATATAGGGTGCCCCAAGTGATATAGTGAAAAATGCATATGAATTTTGCTTTGATGCTGTTATTCGTATCATACTCCACAGTGAGGATCATGGTGAACTGCAGGTGATAAAATTTTCTGTTTCTAGCTTGCTTCATCGTTATCTATCAACAAAGGGTCACTTATCGCTAGCCTTTTAATTGGTCAGAATGCTACAGAATGTCTGGCAGCTTTTATATCTAGTGGAAGACAAGAGTTGCTCACTTGGAGTGGTGATCCCAGTTTTACCATGAGAAGTTTGCTTGATGCAACTTCTAGGTATAGTTCTCCACTTACCTTTTTGTTTGGTTTATTTCACGTCCACCAAAAGCTGAAGGCCTACAGATTTTTGTTTTCGTTTTGGATTTGTTAAAATGTGAATATGTTGCCGACACTTGCGCATGTGAAAAAAATATCAGTTGATTTTTCCTTATACATGGGTAACTCTAGTCCGAATCACCTGCAATTTTTCTGTTTTTTAGAGTAGCCTTCTGAATAATTATTGTGACATCTCTACATTTCTTGGAATCATTTGATAAAGTGTTTTGAGAACCTTGGTTTGTTTGTTCCCCATGGTTTTCCAAATGGTATCTTTTTAAGTCTACAACTTGTATTTCTTTGCAATATTGATTTCTCAATGTTGGTGCAGGCTTCTTAACCCTGATCTGGAATGTTCTGGATCTCTGTTTGCTGGGAAGTACATTCTGCAGCTTATCTTGCATCTTCCATCAGAGATGGCACCCCATGTCCAAGATCTGGTTGCTGCTCTTGTAAGACGGTTGCAGTCTGCTGATATTTCGGCTTTAAAAGGCTCATTGCTGCTGATTTTTGCCAGACTGGTATTTTTCACCTTTCAGTTGGATAGTTTTAAAAGGCTCATTCTCTCTTCTTTGTAAGATGCTTTTAAGGCTCCAAAAGTTCATAACCATTTTATCTCTGTCATGCGCTGTAACTATTGATTTTTGCAGGTCCATATGAGTTTTCCGAATGTCGATCAATTTATCAATCTTCTTGTTAGCATACCCGCTGAAGGCCATGAAAATTCCTTTACCTATGTTATGACAGAATGGACTAAACAACAAGGCAAGCATCTCTATCCTTGTTATCTAGTTGTATGATGCTATTTCTCTACCTTATGCATCACGATAAAGGTTTTTTCTGGCTTTTCAACTTATGGTTGGTTAAGCATCTATTTTCAGGGGAGATACAATCCGCATATCAAATCAAAGTCACAACTTCAGCTCTGGCCTTGCTACTGTCCACTAGACATTCTGAATTTGCGAAGGTCAATGTCCCAGGCAGTCCGATTCAGGTCTTATGCTGTACCTAACTGTTTTTTCCGTAAAATTCAATTTACCCTCAGCCTTACAGAAACTTGAGTCTATTTCTTATATAGTCCAATGGTGGCATAACCACTCGCTCAAAAGCTAGATCTGCTCCTGAACTATGGACCATTATCTCTCTACCCATGAAGGTATGTTTCTGTTTGATTCCTTGGTTTAAATGTTCTCAATGTACAAGCTGCAAGTCAGAATACGTATTCGTTGTGGATATACATTTCTATCTTGATTCATTTGTGATACCCTTTATAGTTCTTAATCGGTCATATCCTCCTCTCATTTCATCATTCTGATGTATGTTTTCAGAAACTTTACATTATTTGTCTCTGCAGATACTGGCTTTACTAGCTGATACATTGATTGAAATGCAAGAGCAAGTTTTGAGTAGTGAAAATGAGGTGATTATGCTTCCTTAAGCTTCTTTATTTCCTTTCCTTTCTTCGAATTGAGTGGAACTTGAGATGTTAATTCTGTTCTTCGAATAGCAGGATAGCGAATGGGAAGAAGTGCATGAAGGAGACGCTAAAGCTGAGAAAGACTTGCTACGTTCAGCTGGTGCCTCCCAATTCAGCAAACCCACATATGACCAACTTGAAGCAATGGCTCGTTTCGAGGTCTTTTTCTCTTTTACCGACTTGGCTACTATACCATTGAACCTTATCTCATCAGTTTTACCCATTGATTTGACAGAACCAAGACGATGAGGTTGATGACAACCTACTTGGTACCGACCCCCTTAATGAGGTGACCTCTTATGTTCTAGATAAGTGTTGTATCTGCTCCTAATTCTCCAACTCGTGATCTGTTTCACCAAGTCTCTATATCTCTGCAACAACAGATTAATCTGGCAAGTTACGTGGCTGATTTTTTGTTGAAGTTTTCGAGTGAAGATCGGCCTCTGTTTGATAATCTTTGCCAGGTTTGGTTACTATGCTCTATATAACCTATCAATTATCTTGAAACTTAATATGAACCACTTGGCTTGTTTTCAAATATATGTAGGGCTTAACAAATGCGCAAAGAAACGTGATCCATATGGCACTGAACCGCTAGGCTTGGCGTCATAATTCACAATTCATGTCTGGAGTGTTGTTTTTTGTCAGTTGATTGATTCTTGGGGAGTAAAGAAGTGCTAGCATCCCTTTTGTAGAAGTGTCATTTTACACAAAGTACTGTATTAAAAAGAAGAAAATCCTCCAGTTTCATGTTAAACTCTACAGTAAAACCCTCAGAAATAACGTAGAATTGCGCAGGCAATCACAAAACAAAACAGCCATTAATGAAACAAATACTAAAGTCCAAAGTATAATATCAATCTTAGCCAAAGAATGGGAGTGTTATAACAAATTTGTATAAAATCTTCCAAGTTAATAACCAAAAAAAATATTCCTTTAAGAAATATGTTTGACGAGTTTCACTACAAATATGCCTAATATTAAAACTTGGTTTTTTTTTTTTTTGCCGTCTAATAAACTTTATTGAAATCAAAAGGATAGTTCAAAAAACCAAAGACAACAGAGCATGTAAACACAAACCAAAACAGAGCCTCACAAAAACAGAGTATTATAATTATGAAAGTATTATAATTATGAAAGATGCTCTAATAAAACTTCATCTTCTCTTTTCCTCTTCGATACGGGAATGGAGCCACATCGGTCCACCTCGAGCTAAATATGATCGTGTGCGACCCTCCCTTGTGACACTCACGGCAATATCTCTTGCGACCGAATTCGCTTTGGTAGATGAAACTTTAAACACTATTTGATGAAAGGAGGAGATTAACCTGTGTACCTTGTCGAGGTAAGAACCTTGGCCAGTTGGATGGATCAATAATGGCTTCAATAGCAGCACTGCAGTCTGACCAAATTTCAATGTTATCCAAATGTAAATCTAAGAGGCTCCTTAAAACCCAAAGCATCCCTCGTAATTCCGCTGCAATACGATTTGAAGCAGGAAGAAACATTTCTCTCGCATGAAAAACTGCATCTCCCTGATGATTTCTAACCATCCATGCTCCACCACACATATGTGAATCATTTAACCAAGACGTATGGAGGTTACACTTAAGAAAATCATTCGGGGGTTTGACCCAATGACCTTCTCTTCGCAAAACCGGGACATTACTCATGGAAGTTTGCGGTTGTAACTCCTTAATCTTGTTCCACTCTTCTGCTTCTTCTATTGCGTGACTGACCAGAGCATTCAACTCACCCTGTTTCCCAGCATATAAAACTTCATTTCGGTGCTTCCAAATTCCCCACAAGATCCATGGAATCGCCATTCTAATCCTGAGAGGCACACTCTCCTGTTTCATAACTTTTAACAAGAATGCTATATTGTCATGGATAGAATCTGTGAAACCATGAGGAGGAAAAGTTATGTTGACGATCTCCCAGACTTCACGAGCCGGCCATCAATTGAATAAAACATGACTGATTGATTCAATAGCGTCCTGACACATAGCACATTGAGGATCCGAGTTCATGCCATGGGCTTGTAGACACACCGATACAGCTAGTGCACCAGATAAAGCTCGCCATAAGAACATTTTGATTTTAGGAATAGTTTTGACCTCCCAAATCTTCTCTTTGAGTGCACGAGACTCTTGTTCATGATCAGAAATTAGAGCAGGCACATGTTTCAAGTGAGATATCAACCAGTTACCACTCTTCACCGTGTAGCAACCAGACCGATTATAAGCCCATACGTAACTGTCCGGTGAAGCTAAATTAGGAGGATACGACATTATTCTGACAACATCCGGTGGAAAGAACAGCTCCGATAATAAATGATGGTTCCAAGAGCCTTGGGGGTTATAAGGTTTGAAACTCGTAAGTCTAAATCGAAAAGAGACTGTTTATTGAAGGGACGCCGCGGAGTATTATCCAAAATCCATTTGTCTATCCATACGCTCGTTGTTTGACCATTACCTATGTTCTTGATGAGACCTTTTGCAAGCAGATCACGACCGTGAATAATGCTTCGCCAAGCATAAGACGGTCTGGCACCGATAGCAGCATCCATAAAATCTTTCCGGTGATAATATCTTGCTTTATAAACCCGAGCCAATAAGGAATTTGGCTTTGTAAGAAGTCGCCAAGCCTGTTTTGCGAGTAAGGCTTGATTAAAATCACCAACATCTCGAAAGCCTAAACCACCTTCTTTCCTTGTTTTACACATCTTCTCCCAAGAGACCCAATGCATCTTCTTATTTTCTTCACATGAATTCCACCAGAAGCTTGTCATTGCACTTGTAATCTGTTGACATTGATATTTTGTAAGTCTAAAGCAAGACATGGCGTACACTGGTAAAGCCATAGCAACTGATTTAAGGAGGACTTCCTTTCCTCCCAAAGATAAAGTCTTTGCATACCATCCAGTCAACCGGGTTTTAAGCTTTTTAGTAATGTATGCCAGCAAATCACACTTAGAACCGCTAAAACACTCCGGAAGACCAAGATACATACCATCGCCACCCTCTTTAAAAATTCCAAGAAACAATCCCAGCAAATGTCTCATAATCGGCTCCATCTTGTGACCAAAGATAATAGATGATTTTTGAAGATTAATCTCCTGTCCGGAGGCATCACCATAGAGTTTCAAACAATGAAGAATTTCAGCTCCTTCTTTGAAATTAGCCCGGCATAGAAAAAGACTATCGTCAGCAAATAACAAATGTTGGATGGAGGGACACTGCCTTGTTAGTCGAATACCAGTAATGCGCCCTTCTACTTCAGCCTTCTTCATGGTGTGAACAAGTGCTTCAGCACACAAAATAAAGATAAAAGGCGATAATGGGTCGCCTTGTCTAATCCCACGCTCCGGTTTGATAAAACCATAGGAATTACCATTCAATAAAACCGAATATGTAACGCTGCGCACACACACCATTAACCAATCAACCCATTTCCTGTCAAAACCAAGACGAATAAAAAGCTCCTCCAAAAAATTCCATTCCACGCGATCATACGCTTTAGACATATCAGTTTTGATAGCCATGAAGTCTTCATTGCAATCCGGATTGGTTCTTAGAGCGTGAACCATTTCGTGAGCCAAAAGAATATTATCAGAAATTAACCGACCCGAAACAAAGGCTCCTTGTGCGTCAGATACAATCTCGGGCAGCCACACCTTCAACCTTGTGCATAAAATCTTGGAGATGATTTTATAGGAGACAGAACACAAAATAATTGGCCGTAGATCCGTCATTCTGTTTGGATTTGGTTTCTTAGGCAATAAGCAGATTTGAGTAAAGTTCTATTCACCCGGAAATGAACCAGTTTCAAAGAATTTTCGAACCTCTTCGCAAACTTGTTGACCTACTACACTCCAATATGATTGAAAAAACAATCCTGTCATGCCATCCGCTCCAGGAGCACTAGTACTTCCGATAGCAAAAACCGCTTGTCGAATTTCCTCATTTGTGACAGGTTTAATTAAAGCAGCATTCATAAGAGGAGTGACACGGGGAACCATACCATCAAGCAACGCAGAAGCATTACATGGCTGAGAAGAAGTAAACAACTGTTGAAATTAATCTACAGCTATATTACCTTTAGATCCATCGGCAAACTGTTCCACTCCATTGTCATCGAATAAAGAAAAAATCTTGTTTTGAGCTCTCCTCCCTTGAACACTACCATGGAAGTATTTGGGTTTATCTTTTTTTTTTTTTACCGTCTAATAAACTTTATTGAAATTAAAAGGATAGTTCAAAAAACCAAAGACAACATAGCATGTAAACACAAACCAAAACAGAGCCTCCCAAAAATAGAGTATTAAAATTATGAAAGATGCTCTAATAAATTCATCTTCTCTTTTCCTCTTCGATACGGGAATGGAGCCACATCGGTCCACCTTGAGCTAAATATGATCGTGTGCGACCCTCCCTTGTGACACTCACGGCAATATCTCTTGCGACCGAATTCGCTTTGGTAGATTTATCAGGTTTATCAGGTTTGATTTATATTTTTCTAGTATTTTCCAAAATTATCTCTTTTTAAGGCTAGTATTTATAGGGTTCTTTTTTTTTTCCCGCTTGCATATGTAATTTTACCAATTTTTAATAAAAATTTACGATGACAAAAAAGAGAGAGAAAGAGTAACATCATGTGCTTGGATTAGAAACATTGCAAAATGCATTTTTGAGTACAATCTAAATAGCAATTTTAGCATACGAATTATGGTGATTTTAAAGAATATTGAAGGAGCAGCTAATAATATATTGGTTGCAAAGATTTGTCATAATTTTATTTTAAATATACAATTGATGATTTGTTCATATATATATATATGTATATATATATATATATATGTATATATAACTGATGTTTGAAAATTGAAATTTCCAAAAAGTAAACACACAATTACTACAACCTTGTAACAATTTTAACATATTAGTAAATTGCAAAATTGTGTGGAGCTACACAATCTCACATTAACATTGAAGCCATCAAAGACAATGCATAGACCTCTGAACCTGAATTATTTGAGCAAACATGTCTCTGTGGGTATCACAATAATAAGTTGATCCATATACAATCACCATACAACCTAAATTTTCACACACATAAGGATGAGGTATGCGGAGAGGATACCAAGTAGTAGTCAATATGGATGGTCATGTGGAAAAACAAAAGATACGAAAAATTAGGGTTTAGTTTTAATAGTTAAGGTTGTTTAAGGTTTATAAAAAAAATCGGATATTATCTAAACTATATATATACATCAACTACCTATATAAGAGGTAAGAAATTGTTTGTCAAACAGTTGCATTTGAGAAATAATACAAACTTTGTCCACACAAATTAGACAGCAATAGTAAAATTGTATTTGATTAATTCTACACATAAATTATAATAGTACATATAAAATATATAATTCATCTCCAAATTGTCTAAGAATTGTAGCCCATGGGAATAATTGGGCCGGGCTCTTTTGGTTGCTAATGTCACGATGTACACGGGTAAGACAAACCCGACCCGACACAGAACAACCAGCTTCTCGTCTCCGCTTCTCAAAGGAGAAGCAAAAACACTGAAACCAAAGCAAATTCTACTTTTTTTTTTTTTTTCTGCATAGAATCAATCGATCATCTATGGCGGTGATTAGTCCAGCTACACGTTTCGCGCCGCCTCTGAACCGGCCTTTTCACCACCGATCGTCACTAGCCTCGCTTCATTGCTCCTCTAGGAACTTCCTCTTCCTCGGAAAACCCACTCCGAGCTCGACGATCGTCGCCGTCCGGTGCCAGAAACCTGCTTCCGACGGGATTAGCTCTATGGAATCCATGAATCATGTTTCATCTTCCATCGATTTCCTAACGTTGTGTCATCGGCTCAAGGTATGTGTCGAACCATATAGATTATTACCGATACGGAAATCAAAACAGTGGATACACTCTAAGAGTGGCTCTCAATTTTGGAATTGGAGATCTACATAGTTATATTCATTGGTCAACATTGTCAAGTAGTGAACTTTTCCTTCTTATGTAGACAACAAAGAGAAAAGGGTGGATTAATCAGGGGATAAATGGATCTGAATCAATTGCTGATCATATGTACCGTATGGCTCTAATGGCACTTATAGCTAGTGATCTTACAGGAGTTGACAGAGAGAGGTTAGTTTTTGCCTCAATTGTTTTGACTCTCTTATTTAAATGATAAAGAAAGGCTACTAAAGATTGTACACTGCATTCTGGAAGTCCTCGTGTATAAGTATGTTTTGCTTATGTATGTGATAAACGACCTGTAGAGCTCTGTGAGGGCTAATATATGTACATTTCTTTTCCAAAAAGTGATTGGTTCTATCAGAATACGGGTATCTAAAAAAAAACTGAGATTGAGTTTATGGGCTAGTTAGTGACTCGGACTTATTTGTGGACTTAATCTGGTAGAGAATTCCTGTAACTCATGGTGTAGTGAAAATGTTGTGGGAGTTAAACGAAAAATATGAGCAGCTAGTCAGAATTACAAAAGCTGTGCTCTGAAACAGTTTTTTGTCTTAAACTAATTATTATGCGGCAATATTTAGGTATGCTTTTGTAAGTGTATCTGTGTATGTCATTTGAATCAGACACATTCAGAAAGTTGAATGAAGGATAAGATAGGAAGACCATCCGTAAACAGTTGATTTTTAAGTGTGATTTAGCACTTGTTGTCAAGCTATAGAAAATAAATTTCTCTGTTTTCTGGCTTTAGCTTACTGGATCTTTCTCTGTCTTCCTTCTTTTCTTGGCATTTTAAACAGGTGTATAAAAATGGCAATTGTGCATGATATCGCTGAAGGTAAATACACATTTGTTTCTACTTTTCAAATGTAAGGTTCACTATATTTCCTATATTCACTATGTAACCTGATCTCTTCTCCTAGTTAGTTAAGCTTCGTTCAAAAAATACTGGGTGGTTTGGAGGATACAAACTTGTATAGATTTAAATCCCTGAGTAGGGTAGGATATGTAACAGATTCACTTGGATTCGTTTATGAAATTTTAGTTTCCTGTGGAGCTGGAACTAAAAATGTGTTTAGAGCTGATTACTTTGGTTTCTTTCTCTCAATTTACTTATACTCTTTTTCTGCTACTTAAATCCTACAAATTGTCAAAGCCTCACTACTTACTGGCTTTTGAACAGCTATTGTTGGAGATATTACCCCATCTGATGGTGTGCCTAAGGAAGAAAAGAGTAGGAGGGAGAAAGCAGCTTTAAAAGAGATGTGTGAGGTTTTGGGTGGAGGCCTCAGAGGTATAAACGCCTCAGCTACTGTCATCTTTTTAATGTTTTGGTTTCCAAAACACTACTTTATAAGTCTAATGTCAACGTGCAGCGGAGGAGATCACAGAACTTTGGCTGGAGTATGAGAACAATGCTTCTTTAGAAGCAAATATTGTAAAAGACTTTGATAAGGTGATTAATGGGTTTCAAGTTTGCAACCACCGATGACTTTAGTTCCTGTTTGTTGTTAAGAGTTACAACTTACTTACGCAACACATATATACACTTGGGTTATACTGACTCTTGTCTCTATTACTGTTTTAGGTTGAGATGATTCTCCAGGCACTAGAATATGAAGCCGGTAAGTCTCAATCTTAATCTTCCTAATCGCTTGTACTTGTTGTTCTACTTCCATCCCAAGAAATCTCACTTGACGTTGTGCCAGAACACGGGAAAGTGCTCGATGAGTTTTTCATATCAACAGCAGGTAGAGAACCCATCCCATACACTCCTTTTAGTTTACAATTTAAGACGTAAAGTAAAATAATCTGGTCTCATCAAATTCATTTGCTCCAATTTCAAATGCAGGCAAGTTTCAAACCGAAATTGGAAAGAGCTGGGCCGCTGAGATCAACGCTAGGAGAAAAAGCCAATTGATAAACAGACAGAGATAGTAAAGTCCAGTTGCCTCATACCTTCAATGTCCCTCAACTATCAACACTAGAATCTTGGAAACTAAGCAGACTCCTCTTGAAACAAAAGGTACAAGCTTCTAGTGAAATTTCAATTTTGTAGTGCAATGAACACACTGGTTTTTAACTTCCCTTTTGGTTGCTAGTCAAAGTAGGACAAAACTTTTAGATATCCTGGTAAACATGAATCTGAACTCAGAATATGCTTGTTAGTTGTTACTGAGGGAAGTGGATCATAGTTTCTTATGAAAATCTTAATTCGAGGTTCCTAATCTACTTCTGATGTAGTTGCAACCCAATTGAAACATATCACACACTCTTGTTATCATAAATTATATATATGCATTTTCTCTGACCCCACCTAAACGCGTGTGCATTGTCACTGTTAATATAGTAATGAATGTTAGAAGAGAGAGTCAACAGCTACAGAATCTTGATGTATCTAACTGGAGTCACCAAATGTTGTCACGTGTATTATTTACCTTCTCTCCTTCCTCTTCTTCTTCTTCTGAAATGATTGTGGAGAAGAAGGCGTGCATTTCCTTTTCACACACAGACTGGTTTTATACACAAAGTTAGATTAAGAGCATATATGATTGTATTTTAATCGACCGACACTATTTTTGCAAAGCAAGATCCTCCATTAGCTCCCAAGTTTGTGAAGATGGAGGATGATGACATGTCATGTGACAATATTACATTACAAAAAAAAAGTGGTAATAGAAAATGAAAAATAAAGAACATAAAAAGTCAATACTGTATAATGAAAATTGGGTTCCACATTGCCACTGTTATTTGTTTGTTGCTCTTTTCTTTTTTATCGGCATGTAAGTGATGTGGAGAATGGTCCCAAAATCGTCAGTGTCCCTTTCACAAATTTTAATATCCACCAACGAGTGAACTATTATTTTTCTATTATACATACATTTTTCTGGACCAATCGTACTATATGTGATGTACTAGATATTCCAATGGTGAATTATTTACCCATACCACAATGGTTACTTTATTTTTTTCACTTGCATTTTTTATTTTTGACCTTTGATTGTTTATGTCAATGTATTAAATTATATGTATTCGAAATCACCAAAAAAAAAATATATATATATATAAATGCAAACATAGCAAGCTTGTGTAAAAAACATTATATCGTCACTCGTTAATGGTTGAAAGTTATACGTAAGGGTTAAAGTAACAATTGCTAAATCTTTTTACGATTTTTACAATTGCCATAAATATTTGAGATTTGGTAAAAAAATTTAACTCATAATACATATATCACAATTAATCACAATTTTCCCTACTAACATAACCATATTTTAAAAAAAAACTAAAAACTAGATTTGCATATCGAAATCGCCAATTACCATTTTGCACCAATCATATTCATATCGGAAGGTGTTCGTTTTTTAATTGGCAGGAAAAAAAAAAAAAGCCTAATTATTTTGACCATTGATTTGACGTTGTAGTAAAGCATTGTTTTTCCTTTATGATGCATTTACAAAAATATCAAAAAAAAAAAAAAAATTGTCTTAAGTTCCTTGTGGATTTTTGTTATTTGCCTACCCGCTTGTGTGTTTGATGATGATGCGCACAATATATTTTTGATTCATCAACCAGAAAAGGCTTGACAAGTTTTTTAAACCAAGCTGCGCAAACGCAATCTCAATGAAGTGAAAAACCGACGAAATTTACTTAGCTAGGCTTTTTAATAGCTAACTGTAGACTTGGGTTTTGACTAGCAGAGGAAATTTTTGGTGTCCAAGGAAAAGCTCTTATTCAGATCCGAACAAGTTTGCATTTTTGTCATCTGATCAGGTAATCTGGAATTTGCATAATTGGTGATCTGGGTTTTATCTGTTTAGTGTTTGAAGAAGCATGGTTGTCTGAATAATTTAGGGTTGAAATAATAAAAACAGTGTTGAGTGATGTGTGGTTTTTAGTTGGTGAAGTTTGGTGCTTGGAGGTTACTGTCATACTCAAGTCTTGGGAATTTTGGTTTCTTCTTCTTTTTTTAATAATTTCTCTTAGTAAAGTAAGTGACGCTGATTGTTCGAATTTCATGCTAATTCAGTTTTTGATCACTAGACTAGAATCTGGTCTTGGGATTTAGATGACTACACCTGCACAGGCTCCTACGAAGCAGGTGCCACTGTCTCCACCATTGGCATCCCCACCGCCATTGTCTCAGCAGCCTCCACCAATGGCGTTGCCTCCACCACAGCCTTCGTTTCCCGGTGATAATGCCACTTCCCCAACTAGAGAGCCCACTCATGGCAATCCACCGGATACCCCAAACACCCCAGCTCAGTCTTCTCCTCCTCCTCCTCCGGTGACTCCAGTATCATCACCACCACCAGAACCTTCTCCCCCACCACCTTCACCAACTGGAGCTCCTCCTCCGGCGATTCTTGTATCATCACCTCCACCAGAACCTTCTCCCCCGCCACCTCCACCAACAGAAGCTCCTCCTACTCCTACTACATCACCCAGCCCGCCAACAAACCCATCACCACCACCACTTGAGACCTCTCCCCCTCCACGTCCACCACCTGATCAGTCTCCCAATTTACCACCCCCATCACCCTCACAACCCTTGAGACCATCCGTTCCACCACCGGAAAGCCCTCCTTCACCACCTGCTCCAGACCCTCCAAGAAATCCACCTCCAACACCTACATTTGACCCACCATCACTTCTTCCTCCACGTCGTTCCCCTCCCCCACCAACCTCACTACTTCCTCCTCCACAACATCCAAAACTTCCTGAGAAACCTCCTCCTCCTCCACCGGGTTCTAAACGTCCTGCTCCTTCACCTCCTTCTCCAAGTGACTCAAAAAGTCCTGTGCATCCTTCACCTCCTTCTCCAAGTGACTCAAAACGTCCTGTGCATCCTTCACCTCCTTCTCCACCAGAGGAAACTCTCCCACCTCCCAAGCCAAGTCCAGATCCCTTACCTTCTAATTCGACTTCATCACCAACATTTCCTCCACCACCCTCAGTTGTATCCCCGCATTTAGCTCCTCAAAAATCTGTGCCAGGTCCTGATAATCCATCTCGAAACAATCCTACTCCTGTGACAGATAATTCCAGCAATTCTGGTGTTAGTACAGCAGCTGTTGTGGGTGTAAGTATTGGAGTGGCCCTAGTGCTGCTTAGTCTTATTGGAGTTATTGTCTGGTGCTTAAAGAAACGAAAAAAGAGGCTCTCAACCATTGGTGGTGGCTATGTTATGCCAACACCTATGGATTCCTCCTCTCCAAGATCAGGTAACCTTAATCCCATCTAATTTTATTAGGAAGTTAGTCTTTGCCATCCTTAAAAGTGGCTTGGCAAGCATGACAGAAAGTAGTCTCCTTGTATGTATTGATGGTTTGAATCTTATATAAGACATGTTACTTTAAACTAAGAGTTCATAGTTATCTAAAGATTAAGATGGTTTGTGTCAAGAGTTCATAATTATGGATATTGCTATGTATATTTTTGATTATCATCATTATTTCTGGATTTTCATCTCCATATATTTGTTATACAGATTCAGGGCTTCTGAAGACGCAGTCATCCGCACCTCTAGTGGGAAATCGTTCTAGCAATCAAACATATTTTTCACAATCAGAGCCTGGTGGTTTTGGTCAATCGAGGGAACTGTTCTCATATGAAGAACTTGTCATAGCAACAAATGGATTCTCAGATGAAAATCTATTGGGTGAAGGTGGATTTGGTCGTGTGTATAAAGGAGTCTTACCAGATGAAAGAGTGGTTGCTGTGAAACAATTAAAATTAGGTGGAGGACAAGGTGACCGAGAGTTCAAAGCCGAGGTTGAGACCATAAGCAGGGTACATCACCGGAATTTGCTTTCTATGGTTGGATACTGCATTTCCGAGAACCGGAGATTGCTTATATATGATTATGTCCCTAACAACAACCTTTACTTCCATCTTCACGGTAAGTGAGATTTCAAGACAGATATAATCATAAACACAAACCACAGTTACTTATACTATCTTTCTATGGTCTTTAGCCGCAGGAACTCCGGGTCTAGACTGGGCAATACGTGTAAAAATTGCTGCTGGTGCGGCTCGTGGACTAGCTTATCTCCATGAAGATTGTAGGTTGCTGCAACTCTTCCAAAATTTATGGATAAAAGTTCCCAAATCAAATTCTCTCTGATGTTAGTTTATGGTTCTTGGACTATATGATTTGAATGATCTTGATGGTAAAATTTGACAGGTCATCCTCGTATCATACACAGGGACATTAAATCATCCAACATTCTCTTAGAGGATAACTTCCACGCTCTGGTATACATTCATCTGCTCTTCTGAATTTGCAAAGCTGCTGATTAATTAAGATCATGGGTTTTAACAGTGTTTAAAATCTTATTCGTAGGTTTCTGACTTCGGCCTTGCAAAGCTAGCTCTCGACTGTAACACACATATTACAACTCGGGTTATGGGAACATTCGGGTAGGTGCTGGTCCCATAAGACATTGCTCATGAGGAGCAAAACGTCTTTCTGTCTATGTTGCAAATCTTGCATCTAATAAACGATTGGTAATGTCTTTCAGATACATGGCTCCTGAATATGCATCAAGTGGAAAATTAACCGAAAAATCAGATGTATTCTCCTTTGGCGTTGTTCTACTGGAGTTAATCACTGGACGTAAGCCCGTGGATACATCCCAACCTCTGGGAGATGAGAGCCTTGTTGAATGGGTATGGTATAAATAAGCATTTAAACTTTTGAGAATGGAACTGTTTCTTCAATCCAACGTTTATGTTGAATGTTTCAGGCTCGTCCTTTGCTTAGTCATGCCATTGAAACCGAAGAGTTTACAACTTTAGCAGATCCCAAGCTAGGTAGAAACTATGTTGGTGTTGAAATGTTCAGAATGATTGAAGCAGCAGCAGCTTGTATTCGCCATTCAGCTGCAAAGAGACCTCAAATGAGTCAAGTACAGACATTTTCTTTTTAAAAGCCAGATTTTTCTTCTTCACTACAAATCGAATTTCACATAACAAGCTCTTAATTGAATTTTTTTACAGATTGTGAGAGCTTTCGACAGTCTAGCTGAGGAAGACCTCACCAATGGAATGAGACTAGGCGAAAGCGAAATCATCAACTCAGCTCAGCAGTCTGCAGAAATCAGATTGTTTAGAAGAATGGCTTTTGGCAGCCAAAACTACAGTACAGATTCTTTCACTCGTAATAGTAATATAAGCAAAGATGAAAACGTGTGAATATCAGAAACAAAACCTTTCTTGATTCAAATTGGGATCCTCTGTTTCCTCTCTGCCGATACATGTGGATGAACATATTGCAGAGGTTAAGCATAGTGATTGTGCCACAAAACATATCTCAAAGTAGAACCATTTCCGATCACCGCAAAAGATTCAAACATTAATGCCGGTCCTCAGCTTCGTCTTGTCTGAATCTGTGGATAAACAAGAAGAGAAATGGGACGAGAAAAATGTTATGTCGGACACAAATGCGGATTCTATTATCTTCCTGCTGTGATGTAACACTGCTTATTATCACGTCCTCTCAATGTTACGCTAATAATAAAACAGCAAGCTTCTTTATGTTATCACCAAACTTTTCATTACGTGTGTCACCTGCCACATGATACATCTGGTCAAATGACTCGATTTGCCAAATATAAGATGAGAAAAGACCGATGCACCCTTCTCCGAACCACATTCATGTTGGGGAATAGTCTTAGAGGGAACAAGAACTTAAAAAGCTACAGTTCTTTTGACGTCCAAGATTCCTAAATATGCCGGTAAATATGTCTCGAACCCCATGTGATACTGATATACATTTCTATGTATATCATCTATCTATAGTATCTTTGTAACCTTGCAGTTTTGTGCATATCACAGTAATGGAAGAAGATTGTGGTGCATTTGCAGCAGACTGTGTTGTCCTGTCATGTTGCTGTCAATGCCTTGTCTTACAAGTCAGTGTCTTCGTCTTCTTCAAGATCCCTCGTAAAGTTGCCAAGAAGATGAAGAAGTTTGTGAAGAGAAGATGTGGAAAAACCTTGCAACCAACAATGGAAAATGTCAAAGAGGAGCATTGGTCTGGGAATGGGTTTGCCTTTGAAGATGGCTCATCAAGACTAAATTGCATGGAAGATATTGAAGGAATGTTGGAGGAACTGTCCATGAACAAAGGGTTCTTGTTTGGAAGCTTCTGGCGTCATGAAGATTCTTCTGACATTTTCGATTTCAAATCATAACAAAGCAGAGGTTATACTCCTCGTATTTGCTGGCCGCGTTCGTTATGTTATTCAATCAAGAATCAATAAAAGAAGCGTTAAGGAATACAAAAGCAAGTCTCATTGTTTCTCAAAAGAAGAGAAATGTAACAAAGACAAAAAAATGTATTGTTTTTTTTTTTGTCTGCTCTTATCTAAACTGAAAATCTTCCCCTGATTTCTAATATAATTAGATGTTTCTTGACAGACAAACTCTATAAACTCTTGTTTTATTTTTACTGGTCAAGGCCGCAATAATCAGAATTTACACGCTTATGCTATACAAACCAGTTAAAGAGCCTCTGTTCTTCAGTCTTGTACCGGATCTCCTCCAGTCTACACTTTGATTAGTCTTATTTACATCCTGCAAAGTCACTAAAGCCCAAATCATCTGAGGAGATAAATATCGGTATTCGTTCATCAATTATCAAGATTCTGGCTGATGAGACCTCATGACCAATGTAGGCCTTACTGATCTCTGCCTCCCCATTTCAAAGTTCCCAGAGTTGCTGCACTGATCCTCGTATCTAAGCAGCTGTATGGTTCCATGGGACATTGGGAAAAACCTCATCTGAATAGCACAGAAGATGAAGTAAGGCATCATTGTGGATAGCACTACAAAGAGAGTGGTGATCCAGTAAGAAGGTGCAGGCGCAAGAGCTTCAAGAAAGACCATATAGGCATCTGTAGATACTCTTATTGGAAGGGATCCGTACACCATCAGAAAAAGGTACCATATAACAATGGATCCCCAAATGACGACATGTTGGATTAGTGTGAAGTAACTGATCGTCAAGACCATCTGCAAACTCACAACCCACACCACACATGTGTACATTGTTCCCCCTAGAATATCTCTCCCTGCGGTTTTCCCTTCGTGGTTGAAAGCTTGAGATTCAAGAGAGGTTTTGCAGAGAAAGAAAATGATTATTGCGCTGCAGAAGCCATGGAACATCCAGCTGAGTATCCGGCGCCAACTAAAAAGGAGATTTTGTACACCTTCTTGGTACAATACGGGGAACTGTGACAGCAAACAAAGCAAAACTTTGGTTAAGAAATTCACTTGATCGCTGAAAGATCAAGCAGCTGTTTTGATTTGAATAATTATATACCTTGAGACAAAACGGTGCAGATACATCCTGGTCGAAGATGCCCAAACAAATTACAGGAAGAGACGTGAAAAGGACACTATATAGAGATAGATACCAGTCATTGTAAGCCGGTGTCGCTGAGAATGATGTGTATGCCTCATATAAGAAGAGAGTGAAACCAAATGTGATGTTCTTGTAGAAGAAATAACAAATCTGCATATAACAACAGACAAATATTGATAAAACTAGTCAGAGTAAAAGATAATGAGACTAAAGGTCAGTGTCAATCTAAATTTGTAGATTAGACTTATACCATTTTTGCGATCCGTCTGTAACACCAGTGTCCATGGACCAGTAATAAACGCTCCAGATATCTGAACTGAGCAATGGCAATGTCGCTGGACATTACAGCCTGGAAAATTATTAGGATTAGTCAAGGAAAAAATCTTACCAACAAGAGATGAAAATAGTTGTTTTGTAATTCTTTTGTCGAACCTGCATTCCTTCCACGCCGCTGATCCCAACTCCTATATCTGCTTCCTGGAGCATTCCAACATCATTTGCGCCATCACCAATTGCCAATGTCGTCTGACCACTTCCAGTTTTGACTAGTCTTGTTACCTATGCAATATGACTGTTGAGAAAAAGCTAGCTAGCCACTAAGTATATGACAATTGTGATGGAAGATAGAGTAAGAACTGACCAGTGTCTTCTGTTTTGGTGATGAACGGCAGCAAATCACTGAAGCACAACCAATGGCCAGCTCAAGGAAGATGCCTTTCATATCTTCGTCCAATGCATAAGCAAGTGATTTCCCATCAATGATTAAAGCAAAAGCCTTGGCGTTTCCACCAGACGCTTTCAGCTGAGCCTTTCCACTAGTTATCTGATGCAGTACATTTTCCTTTAAAGCCTGCAAAAAATTAGCCAAATGGATTCGTTCAGCTACATAATCACTAGTAATACTGTTCCATTCCCATCATATCAGTGTTTCAGAAAATTTGTATTACCGCTGCAATGGCATCTTTCTCTCCGGATTTTTCCAACTGCTGGATTTCAGGAGTCTCCAAGTTAATTATGATCTGCTTCATGTCTCGTCTGAGCAAACTACAAGCAAAGCTGTCAAAGATATACATATACAGGTGGGTTTAGAGAGTGACTAAGATTGTATGCACAAGGCTCAAGAGTAAATATAATCAGATTGTACCAAGAAATCAATACCCAATATTGATGGCAGTCTCCATCTTGTCTCCAGTCAAAACCCAAATCTTTATTCCTGCTTGAGCAAGCTTATCAATGCAATCAGGGACCTGAATAAAAGGTAAGAGAAAGAAAAAAGAATTTCAATTTTCTTGTTCGACTCTGGAAAGTTCACCTATCTATAAATTAGCTTACCCCATTTTGAAGTTTATCCTCAACAGCAGTAGCTCCAAGAAGAACCAAGTTTTTTTCAATCTTCTCTGTTACTTCATCTATCAGTGCTTCTCGATCAGCACTAACTGAATTCTTGGCTTCACTGATTCTCTCAGTGAATACCTCGTATTCATTTTCGTCGAGTTCACGATAGGCAAGTATCAAAGTTCTCAATCCAGCATCAGCATACTCGTTCACATGGTCCCGGGTTTCCTTTTCATACTTTCTACCGCTTTCGGAAAGTCTTTCAAACATGACACTGGATGATAAAAGAAGTTGAAACTAAGTTCGAAAAGAGATTTATATCTGAATTTCTAAAGTCAGGATTCATACCTGTCTGCCCCTTTACAAAGTAAAAGCAGTTTGCCATCTTGATCCTGCACTATTACTGACATTCTTTTCCTTGAGCTACTGAATTCAAGAACGTTCAGGACTTTATACAACCTGCAAAGGGAACACTTTCACAAAAGTAAGAAAGGGACAGAAGCTTATGATATACAACAAATAAGAAAAGATGAACCTACCTTTCAACTCGTTCCCCAGTCACCAGGTCTAGCTCTCTGACGGATATTGTTGTTTGAGTTCGAGTGAAAAATTCAAACCCAAGCTCCCTTGCTGCAATAACAAATGCTGCCTCATCCGGTGATTCAGCCTCGTAGGAGATCTTTCCTGTATCTTCATCCACTTCAGGTATGACTGTATGACATACTGCCAGTAATTGAAAGAATTTCTGAATGACACCAGCACGCGTTTCCGTGACCCAGTTTCCATCCATTATCCTTTCATCTCTAAAGTTGAATCCTTTCACAGCCGGTTCTGCAGCAACAGCATCATCAGTACTATTTCCATTGCTCTGATTCACCAAAGCAGAACCTTTTCTCCTATCCATAGCCATCTCCACCTCTGTAACACCACGTCCATAGGCTGTCCCAGCAATAGAACACTTGATGAACTCCATGGAGTTACAAGTCAATGTTCCCGTCTTATCTGAAAGAATTGTACCCACTTGCCCAAGTTCTTCATTTAGATTGGAAGTACGTGCATGCGCTGGTTTGTCAGCTTCCTCATAATACATATGGATATCCTGATTGATGAAGATACTCTGAAGAACTTTAACAATCTCTATCGACACATACAAGGATATAGGAATAAAATAACTGTTTAACATTAGGGCCGTTAGAAAGTGATATATCGCAGCCATAGGTGCCCTCTTTGGGTCAAAGAAGATGCTGGAATCATCCGGTTTCAGATACCATCTTTTCATTACGCCATTCTGGAAATCATCTCTCGTTGATATTCCAAATAAAACCGAACCAAAAAAAGCTAATGAAAATACCATAAGGAACATCAGGTATATAATCTTATCCATCTTCCTCTCGATCATGCTTCTCTTAGACGGAGGCTCTGTTGAATTCTGGACAACCTTTGTATCAGGTCCTGTGAAGATAACAACCCCATAGATATAGTCTGTGTTCCTGAGTTTTGAGCCCCTCAGAAGAAGCTGCTGTGGTGAGAGAGGGTACTTTGCTCCCTTAAGATCCATAGTACCAACAAACGAGTATAAGTTAGCATTCGGGTCCTCACATTTGATAAAAGCATCAAAATCCCTGAAATTGAGCTCTTCACGCAATGACAATGTTACTTCTAGTCCTTGTTTAAGTTTCAGATTTGTTTCCCCGTCAAGGTTCATTGTCTCTACATAGCAAACAGCATCCTCGTAGCTAGAAGAAAGCAGGACAAGGTCTGCCGGAAAAAACTCGTTTTTCTCTACCTTCAATATATCCCCAACTCTTAGTGTCTTCCATTCCCTAAGATCGAAATTCCCATTGCCTCGGTGCACTCTAACTTTTCTGCTATTCACTTCAATATCCTAAAAGAATGATAATTTCCAAATAATGAGAAGTTTTTCAATCTACAAATGAATTTAAGAGTAATCCAACCTAATGCAGAAGCAAGACAACTATTCAATGATATGTCAATTCCAGTTCTGAGCAATGTAGCTTAATCCAGCATAGAACTACTGATTCGGAACAAGATAACAAACAATGTTTAGACACAAAACATCCTATTAAGATCATCTAATCCAACTCTAATCAATCAACAACGACCCAGGCAAAATCATTCAAAGTACAACATCAATCAATCAAAGTACCTGCTGTTTCCGGCGCCAATCTTCTACACCCTCTTTAAACATAGTAGCGAGAATGACGAAAGTCAGCGGAACAATGGCGCTCACAGCGGTATATGGCGCAAGAGGAGTAAAAGACAAGATCCCAACAACAAGGAAGTAGAAATTGGCAACTCTCCTGAACTGCTCAAACAATGATTTAGGAAGGAAAGTGGTGAGAGTATACTTAGTGGTCCTCACATAGTTGTCACAGTAGTTTTTTGATTCAGCTTCAGGGGAATCAGGTTGGTTGCAGAAAACCACACGAGAGAAACCAGATCGTCCAATTTTCGAATGGTCTGGCTTGAAACAAGCTTTAGCACCTGTCAATGTGAAAAGCTTGCTAAATTGTATCTTCCTTTTGCGTCTCCTTCCACTCACTGTCGCCATTGTCTCTCAATTTCAACACCTGACTGGAAAAAAGATTCAGACTTTCAGAATCTCTAAAACCCTGAATAAGAAAGTTGGAATTTTTTTGGTATAAAATGCCGATTGATTTGCAAAACCTACGAGAACATACGAAAACAAAGAAACCCAGAAAACTAAATTGTTGAAAAAATGAAACTTTGTGGGGAAATGGATAAAGAGAGAAGGAGAGACGATTAATTTACCTTTGATTGTGTCAGACGTCGTAGTTTATGAGTCCTTTCACCTTTCGATTCTCCGAGAAACTGACAAATTTCTCGGAAAATCTGGTGAGGAAACAAGGAAGAGAATCTAGTGGGGGTTATATCAGAGTTTTAGATTTTGTCAAAATTTATAGCAGAAAGAAATCTCAAGAGAGAATGCAAAAATCTGTAAGAATTAAAATTGTAATCCACTATTTTTGGAAACTGGGGTTTAAAATCATGAACCAAAAGTCTTGGGGTTTTAAATGAAAGAACCAAAAGTCTTGGGGTTTTTAACCAGAGTTTCAACATTTATAGACTTTTTGAATTTTTTTATTGGTTGACCTTTTCGAAAGAAGATTTCGTTTTCTAGAATCGATTTTTTTTCTCCGTATTTCCAAACGAGGAAGAAAGAAACAACGAACGAATAAATGCCAAGATTTTCTTGACATAATCAACATTTGACAGTATTGCAAATCAATTTCCTAATTAAAAAACTATTTGACGACTGGGAAAAACATGAAACAATTGAGGTCTTCATTAGATCATGATAAATAGAAACGAAACCAATAATTGACGACTGGAATAAGAAACTAATGCATTATTTAATTATCTCTTTTTTTCCTTTTGCGTGGTTTGTTGATTTGCACTAAACTTGGAAGATAAAAAGAAGAACACACGAGTGGGGGAAAACACTCAGTCCGGGACTTCTTGCAACTAGGTTCCTTGACATTGGGAGCGCCTCGGAGACTCACAGTTTTAAAGTATCCGTCATCTCCACTGATAAAAGCTGTGGGGCACCCAGTGGTCTTGGTTTTTACATATCCGTCTACACCAAAAACCACAGCTACTTTCTCTTCCTCGTCAATGAAAAAGCTCCCAATTTCTTCGTTAAACCGAGCGGTAAACCGATCATTACTATCACTGACTAAGTGTGGTGTCATATCCACTTTCAAAAACTTGCTCCAAGACAAAGCGTTTGACTCAATCCTAGTGGTAACCCAAATCTCCAATATGACATCATGACAATCCATCTCATATAGCACTGCGAGCTGCTCTTCTCTAACACATGAGAGAGTCACTGTCTCTTCATTATAAGGTTCTCCAGACGGAAGAGGCAGCCGCGGTCCAAATCTCTCTTTTGTGAAATCAAAACAAAGTAAGAAATCTTTCCAAGAAGGTCCTTCTTTCTCATGACCAAAAAAGTAGGTATTTCCATTCACAGACACGCCGCGGTGATTGAAATTTACATACCAGTCGGGAGTGATCTTGAGAACCCTCCATGACTTAGAGCTCAAGTCGTAGATTTCGTACTCAAGAAGGTTTTTATGGTCATCATCCAAAAACCTCAAGATTTTGTGGTTATGATTGATGTCGTATCCGAGAGCATATCTGTCGTGTCTGTGAAAATCTGTTCTCGGTCTAATCCTCCTTGTTTGCCCCAAATAAGGGTTCCACACCACGAGCCTCGACTTGTCCTTGAGGATGCATAACAATAAGCCGTGGCAGTGAAAGACTTTAATTATCTCGACTTGATTAAATACATCTAACTGCTTTCTAGATGGATCCACCAGCTCGCCATCGGTTTTGCGGATTCCTTGGAGATCAAATCTTACTGACAAAACCCTAGAATACCTAGTCATGAACCCCGCACACGGCTGCCTTGCCACTGCTTTGCCCAAAACCCATTCTTTGGTTAAAGCGTTCCATAATTTGCAAGTGGATCGAACTGTTCTCAGAGATGTTATCGGAATCTTGGTGAATATTTCCCCTACCAATTCCGGTGGAAGATCGCATATCATCGTCATTCTCCAAAGTTTCACCAAACGACGCAATATAAATTAGGGTTTTGTCTTTTACTCTTCTTTTTATATAGAGAGCTAGGTTCCGGAAAGAAAAAAAACAAAAACTCTTTCCTTTCTTGATTACTCTATTTTCGGATCTGGGCTTAGAGACTAAGGCCAATAACTTGCGGACGAAGAAACGGGGCAAAAAGAGGATTAAAAAATATGCCCTAAACTAAAAGACTATATATATTGTTGCAGCCGCGGTTCTAGGAAATAAATAAATCTATCTTACGCAGCTCCCTCGAAAGTTAACCTATCATCGCTCTTCTCTTTTCTTCTAAAATTCTCCATGGCCACCACCAAAGTAAAACTTCTAGCTTCTCCTTGTTACTCTCTCTTCTTCGTTCTTCATCTTACGTACTGTTCCTGTTTGTTCTACAAATTTAATATAACTTTATTGTGTTTCGGATTTTCAGGTTGAAGCAGCTCTTTCTGTGACCTCAAAAGATGACTCTGATGAGGCAATTAAGCACCTCATAAGTATTTTTGACTGTTTCTTCTGTATTTTCATTTAGTTACTACGTATACTTATTTGTGTGTTTGTTTATGGGTAAATAACTAGGAATTTACTGCACTTAAACCTGCGGCTAATGATTCTTCATCCTTGGAAGATGGGAAGGTGGTAAATTTATTATCTTTGGTTTTCTATTGGCCTAGCCGCCTAGCTAGTGTTGTTTACTAGCAGTTGTTTTTCTTTATCATGTATATGACTTTCAAACTGGTCTCTAATTACCTCTTATCCATGACAATAGAAAACTGCTCCTGCTACTAGCAAGGCTACAAGCTCTGATGAAGATTCTGATGAGGTTAGTTTATGTACTTTTATGAGATTATCAAGTTTATTCAGATATTAGCTTTATATATATGTACTAATAATACAACTTGATTTTATTTGTCCTATGTTGAATCTTTTTCGAGCGACTTTTGATGTCCTATGTTTTAGCTAGTCATTGACATTAACCATGAGCATGATGTTTATTTTGGCAGGATAGTGAAGATGACAAACCTCCACAGAAAAAGGCTAAAGCAGATACAAGACAGAGTAGTAGTGATGATTCTAGCGATAATGAATCTGATGGAGAGGCAAATAAAAAGGTGTGGATCGATTCTTATTGTTGCTTTCTTGATAATTCGTATACCTCTGGGTGTGCATAATGTGCTATTGTTGTAGCTAGAAGCTTATTTATCTCTTAGTACATAACTTTTTGCTAACTCTAGTTGTTCTAGTCTCTCTTTCTAGTTTGTAGTTAATTTTTGTGTTATGATTATGACTTTCAGGCAATGCCACCATCATCAACGGGAGGAACTAAGACACTCTTTATGGGCAATCTCGCATCCAATGTTGAAAAATCTGATATGTAAGTAGCACCAATACATAATTCCTCCTCTCTCTTTCTTTGGGGAAAGATTTTCATGACCTGATAAAATATTTATGGTTTAATTACAGCGAGAAGTTCTTTGAAACAGCTGGCAGAGTTGTTGATGTTCGATTGGTTACTAGTAAAAAAGATGGTAGTTTCATGAACTATGGCTATGCTGAGTTTTCTTCTTCTGAAGAAGCACAGAAGGTGAGAATACTTCTTTTTTTTGTGAAAATTATAACTAGTGTAATTGAAAGTATGATCACAGATATAATCTTTTGTGTCTAGGCCCTTGTGGAATTTCAACGTAAAGAGTTACTCGGTCGCAAAATCCGTCTTGATGTGTCTGTTGATATGGGTCCCGATGGACGAGTACTACGCACTCCTGATAGGTAATCGATTGTATTTTTTGCCATACGTATTAAGAGACTATGGATGTTATATTTACCTATCTCCTGCAATGGATTTGCAGTACTTTCACCGGTGGATTCGATTGGCCTCCTTTTTGGTTACGAAAACAAGACTGACACAGTAACTTTTGTTTTCAATGTACTTGTTATTTTCTTCTAGTTACTTATTTTAATTTAAAAGAAGCAATATTAAAAGTTTGAACCAAATTCATTTTTGATTCTCCAATTTTGTCATCTCCCTTGTGGATTCTTCCGATTTTGTCGGAAATTACTTCAAAAACCTAAAAATAGTCCAAAAAAAAATCGGGATCAGGAGGAAGTGAGAAAAAATGCCGTCGCAGATTCTCCAAATCTCACATCTTCCACCTAAATCTTCACCATCCACGGAAATGATGTTCAAGTCTTTGATTTACGATGATCCTTCAACGACCCTTCTTTCTTCTTCTTCTCGATTTTGTGATGACCACCACACCATTTCTGCTACCGTTAAGCCTCTCCTCTCCCGCTCTTCCAGCTACAACGGCGGCGTCACGGCGAAGAAGACGTCTTCGTCTTCTGGTGGTGGATTAGCTGGTTGGTATCAGAATAGATGGCGACGATCTAACAGCGATAACTGTCTCTCTGCGTTTCCCGATGGTACTAATGGAACCGACGGTGGTAGTAATAGCGGCGACCGTCAAACTACTATTGGTCTGGAGGTTGGCCACGCTGCTGCGGAGACGTTTTTGTTGACTCGTCTTTGTTTGAAGCTCCTTAGCTATCTTGGGTATCTATCTATTTCCTATTTTAGATCCGTTATCTGTTACATTTTCTGAATCCAGCGACATTGGCTCATAAAAAGGGATGATCTTTGGTTTGCAAGATTATTGATTTGATTGATCACTGATCACAAACTATTATTCAGGGTAGGTTATAGATGGATTACAAGATTTATGGCACTTGGATGTTATGCATTTCTTCTAATGCCAGGCTTTATTCAAGGTTTGTTTGACATCTACTAATTAGGGATCTATCGCTCTCTTTTTTGAGATAGTAACTATAAGTTTCATTGCTAAAGGTTTGGACTTTACTTTGCAGTCGGATATTACTATTTCTTCTCTCCTTACGTTCGCAGAAGTATAGTTTATGGAGATCAACCAAGAAACAGGTCATAATTGTTTACTGGTTATTATTCGTTCTAATCATGTGTAGATTGCTCTAGAGACTAGTAGATGGTTTGTGTTTTGTTTGTTGATATAAGTTTTTTTTGGTTTCTTTAGGCTTGACTTGTATCTACCTAAAAACTCTAACGGACCAAAACCAGTTGTGGCGTTTGTCACTGGGGGAGCCTGGATTATTGGGTGAGTATGATACCCAATGGACACTATTTTCATTCTAAAGCATTGGAGGACGAGGAGAAAGAACTGCAAATATCTTACAGAATGTCTTGTGTTGATACAGTTATAAGGCGTGGGGTTCTCTCTTAGGACAGCAGTTATCAGAAAGAGATATTATTGTGGCATGCATTGATTACAGGTAATTATGCATGCTTTGAGTTTTTTTTTTTTTTTTTTCTGGCAGAATGAATGTGGTTGTTTCCTCTCATATTCCATCAGTTTTCATTTAGTGTTTCGCAATCTCATTGGCAATATCTCCTCTTACACAGGAATTTTCCGCAGGGTTCTATTAGTGACATGGTCAAGGATGCTTCTTCTGGCATCTCATTTGTTTGCAATCATATTGCTGAGTATGGAGGTGATCCAGACAGGTACTATTTTTGTCAACAATGCTTAGACATCGAAGTTCTTGAGTTTTAGATTTCTTGCTCACTGATTTCTGATCTTTTTCCTGTGTAGAATTTATCTGATGGGTCAGTCTGCTGGTGCACATATTGCAGCTTGCACCATTGTAGAGCAGGTCATTAAAGAGTCAGGGGAGGGGGACAGTGTCTCTTGGAGTAGTTCACAAATAAATGCTTATTTTGGTCTATCTGGAGGGTAAGCAAAATTCTTTCTTGTGGTCCCAGAGTTCGAATAACAGTTATTAGGACAATGGCGCTACATTGGAATGCAGATTTCTGTCAAGAACTTGATTAACACAAGTTTCTTTACTTGCCTTAGTATACATATATGTGTAACTCCAGTTTCTATCTAGCCACCAAGGTCTTTTGTAGAAATGCTAGGCAATTCGTAGAACCCTGAAGAAATGGTCAAATATTAGCGTAACGAAGCAAGTAGATTCCTGCCTTCTATCCAACTATAGCCACATAAATTTTGAATGTAAGGCCTCCCATCATATGTTTGGCTATTCTTAACAAACTTTGTGATCGTGATCTACAGATACAACCTTTTGAGCCTTGTGGACCACTTCCATAGCAGGGGGCTGTACCGTTCCATCTTTCTGAGGTATAGCATTTTCTCTTTTCGAATCTTGGTATAGCTTACATTACTCACATTGGCCAGTAGAGCAGCCTGAAATTTTACGGTTTAACGTGTGACTTTTGTTTTTCCTCAGCATCATGGAAGGAGAGGAATCATTAAGGCAGTTTTCTCCTGAATTAGTAGTGCAAAACCCGAATCTCAAACACATCATTGATCGCCTCCCACCTTTTATTTTATTCCATGGTACTGATGACTACTCCATCCCTTCAGATGCAAGGTATGGTTAAAATTTTCGTAGCCTTGTGGGTATTTGTCTGTCTTATGTATATCAGAAGGTTAATATGATGATTGAACTTTTGTTACATAATCTATCCAGTAAATCTTTTGCGGAAACCCTCCAGAGGCTTGGGGCCAAAGCAAAAGTGATCCTTTACGAGGGGAAAACACACACGGATTTGTTTCTTCAGGTACAAAAGCCAGTCTTTTTGAGGTATGAATGTCTGGTCGTACAAGAACCTGAATTTTGATCTAGAAACTTGGTTATCTATGTTAGGATCCAATGAGAGGTGGAAAAGATGAGATGTTTGAAGATATAGTATCAGTGGTTCTGGGAGACAATCAAGAACTGATTGGTAAAAGTGTAGACAGAAGGCGTCTTGTACCTGAATTCATGTTGAAGTTGGCTCACTGGGTCAGTCCGTTCTAACTCCTACACTCTTATCTCCCAGAAGATCAGATGAATCACATTCTTTCTTCCAGTGATACAGACGGGTCATTGTGCATATTACTTAACAAGGAAACAGATCCCACTATACTTTGACGAAACAGATAATTTTGAACTTTGATGATGATGATATTGTATCCCGGTTTGCAATATACTCTGATTATTTCGTCATTCCCTGTTTGTGTTATTTGTAGAACACTAAAAAAGTGCATTAAAGAAACAAGTCTTTATTAACTTTTTCACATTAGACTGTCTTTGATGTTCTCCTTCTCTGATCATTATTAATCATTGGTTGCACCTATTTCTTAAAATCAGTTGACTTTTCTACCAATATACAAAGTGCCAAACCAAACCAGTGATATTTAACAAAATAAGGTGACGTAAGCAGTTCGTGATTTATATTGATTATTACACTCTACTACTTAAGATCCAACGGTTTGAAGTATAGAATAGCAATAGGCAAAGATGCAGATAGATGAAAAGACGAAAAGGAGTCATATGCAGAGGTTTTCTGCGAGCACAAAGTATAGTTCAAAACAAAGCAAAATCAAACCAAAGTGTGTTTTGATAGTGCCTTAACCAGTGTTCCTCATTCCAGCTGCAATACCGTTAATGGTGATGAGCAATGCATCCCTGAGCTTGTTGTTGTCGTCATCACGTCTTAGCCTCTTGAGGATCTCTACCTGCAGCATGTTCATGGGGTTTAGATACGGAAGTCTACTCTCTATCAGCTTTTTCAGGCTCCGGTTGTTCTCCGAGAGCTTTTCATGACCGCTTATCACAAGCACATACTTCTCAGTCGTCAGCAATTCCTTCCTGAGCTCACTACCAATTCCTCTTCTGTTCTCTGAGACAAGCTCTTCATCGTAGTGTTTGGCTATTGGGATATCTGCTTTAGCTAACACCATCTCTATAAGGTCTATGGTCGACTGAAAGAAGGGCCATTCTTTGTACATTGCTTGGAGGTCATCAGCGTGACCCTTCTCGCAGACTCCTTTCAGACCAGCTCCTACACCGAGCCAAGCTGGAAGGACAAACCTTGTCTGTGTCCAGGCGAAAACCCAAGGGATAGCTCTGAGATGTCCAATCCCTGATGAGCTCTTTCTTCGTGTTGGCCGGCTTCCTATGTTGAGGAAACCGAGCTCGGCCTGAGGTGTTGCCTCTTGGAAGTAGGAGAGGAATTCTGGGTTTTCATAGACCGTGCTCCTGTAGTTTTGGCAGCTGATGTTTGAGATATCTTCCATTAGGCTCCGCCATTTCTCTTCTCTTGGTGGCTGAGGAGGCTGCAATGTAGCAAGCAGCACTGCGGTTGTGTAAATCTCTAGCTGCCTAACAGCCGTCTGTGGTAGCCCAAACTTGGCTTGCACCATCTCGCCTTGCTCTGTGGAACGGAGAGTACCCTGCAAAGTCAATGCAAGATTGTACGTGAGGACTTTTGCTGAAAAGAGAAAGACTGTCCATATGGGTAATTAACTTACCATTACAGACCCAGGAGGTTGGGATTGTATGGCAAGATAAGTTGGGCCACCACCTCGGCCAATACTCCCTCCTCGTCCATGGAATAAGGTAATTTTGATTCCAAATTCATTGCAAGCAGCCACAACATCCTCCTGGGCTTTGTAGAGTTCCCATGCTGCAGCAAACCGTCCAGCATCTTTTCCAGAATCCGAATATCCAACCATCACCTGCACATAAATAACGTTGCATTTCTTTCGAGACAGAGCATACTCTAAATTTAGAAATGGTTGAAATTTTAAGTATATCTACCTCTTGGTGGCCGGTGTGGTTCTTTTGGATGTGTTCTCTGTACCAATCGATTGATAGCAATTTTCTAATCACGGAGCCAGCGTCTCTTAAATCTTTCACCGTTTCAAAAAGAGGCACCACTCGCAGTCTATCATATAACAAAATTAAAATCAGCACACCAATAACTTATGCCATCAAAATATAAGATACATAGACTTAACCTCTAGAAGAGGTCACCAGTATATAAAAGTATGCAGAGGGAAAGATGATTAACAATGAAGTATTCATACAAGAAATTAAACTCACGTTCCAGCAGG